CCAGCACCTTACCGCCCTCTCAGAATAACTGCCCCTCTCCCATGTCTTTACTGTGCTTTTTCAGGCTCTGTGCAGTCATCTGGCTCTTGCTAACTTCTCCCCCAATCTGATGCTGCTGGTCCCTCCCCCACTCTAAGCTCTTCAGCCTCACCAGCTTCTTCCATTTACAGGAACTGCTGCTGGCCCCTCCCCTGCCCTCAAACCCCTCAACCTATGGTTATTGGTTCCTGGAACAGGCCACCCCTACCCCACTTCTGCCTAGTTGGCATCTACTCATCTTTCAGGTCATCATACTGCAAGGCTTGGTCATGTTCACCTGCTCTATGCTGTCAGAGCGTCTTGTACTTAATCTTCATGGTGAGCCCAATGAGGGAAGGTACTCAGTATGTTTCTTAGCATTTTATTTCCAGGATCTAACATAGTGCCCTTTGGATTGCCTGGATATTTAATTTCCCATGCTCAGATGTTAGGGTCATAGTGTCAGTTTTCTTCCAGCCATCCCTAGTGTAGGATGACGTAGACATTGAATACTATTTGCTTTTGTCCACAGAGAACCATTTAGGGTTTTAGATCTATGTAACTTACAGTTTGAATAAATTGGTTAGCTCTCTATTTCAGTGCTTAAAGCAGCAAGACTTTGAATCTAAGGTCCAATTTTCCTACCAACCTTACTGGGTCACCGTGTTCTTTAGCCTGGAATGATGTTGTCTGCACTTGACTATTTCCCAGAGCTGTCCTGAGACCAGAGGTGTCCAGGCATTCTAAATACTGGCCTTACTACATTACAAATACATAACCATAGATAAATATGTGCTCTTCTAAGTAAAATGTAAATCCTGTGGAAGTGTGTGACATTTAAAATTTTTACCAATCTTAATTATACCTATTTTTTTCCTCCTAAATTCAGGTAATTTATCTCTCAGCTTCAGTGGGAATATTTGCAATTTACAATGCTTATTTCCCAGGGATCATTTAAAATTTTTAAGTTGTGAATCTTTCATCAGCAGTTTGCCATTATCACTGTCTTTCAAACAAATCGTCTTGTAATTTATTGAACAAAATGATGAAAAAGCTCAGATCTAAAACCAGTTGGTAATCCAGGGTGTGTCTTTCTCATTTCATTTGATCTCTTTCCTTAAGATATAAATTAGATTATTTTTAGCGTGAGTGGCTCTCTCCAAACAGAAGCAGAGACTGTTTTTCATCTTGGCTGACTAACGTGCATGACCTGACCCTTAATCTTTACCCAGTATTTGTCTGGTACACCTGTAAACAGGTTTGCATGGTATTTGTGAATCCAAGCATAGTTGTCTTATATGAGGCCCTGGACTTAAGTCTTGTCACTACTGGGCACCCTTTTCCGCACCCAGAGGCACCACCCTGGGTGAGGGTCAGGAGTAAACAGAGCTGTGTGTGCAGCATTGTGTGGTCTGCTTGTTTAACGTCAGGAGCAAGGACACTGGGAGAGACTGGTGACTCCTGTAATCTCGGGAGCAGAACAAAAAGACTGTCTTGGTACCAAGTAATGGCACCCAGTCTGTTGAGCTGAAGAATCCATAGGTGTTTAGCTGCCTGTACAGGGCACAGCATTTAAATCTTACATAGAGGGACCACGTAGTATCTTGTTAAGGTAAAGTATTTTTTGTTTTTGTTTTTTGCATCAGGTGTGAAAATCGCCATGTGCACTGCATTGCAGTCTCTAGGCATAATCCAGATGCTTTAGTTTCACAGATAAGGACCGAATGAACCAAGCAGACAAAAGGAGGGGGAGAAGGGAGTGTGCCTCACTGTGTACAGTAGTGCTTTCCCCAAATAGCTTTAGGTAAATAAGAATTGATCAGATTATCTCATCTGAATCTTAGTTGTGCCTTCATTCATTAAAGGAGTCCCTTTGTAATGTAGATGGTGCTTGTAGCAATAATACCTATCCTCTAAAATAATTTTCAAAAAATCTTGGTACATCAAAGTTTTTTAAATGGAGACATGCACTTGGGACCCCTGAAAAGCAGATTAGCGCTTACTTTTGGTATGAAGAGCTAGTTCCTCTGCAGCCAGATGGGCTGAATTGGAATCCTAGCTCTGGTACCAGAATGATACTTACCTCTCTTGACCTCAGTTTCCTCTGTGGTAAATAGGATACTAGTGATAACTTCTTCATAAGGCTGTTGTCAGGATTAAGTGAATAGTACATTTAAAAGCTGAGATCACTGCTGGGACTGCCTATGTAAGGTGCTTAATAAATGTCTGCTTCACTATATGAATGCTTCAGAATAGGCTTTTATTCCCTTGAAAGAGAATGGATGGTGGCAGTAAAGACTCACCCTGGTCATAGAAGTTTTATTATTTATTTAATATGAATCTATCAAGGAAGGAGTTAAGAAAGTAATTTAATCTGGAAGGTGATGATTAAAAAAACAAGTTAGGAAAGTATGACGCCAACTTTTTAAGTGCAAGTTGAGTTTTACAAAGAACTTCCAAGCCTTACGCTCTACAAAATACAAACATTTCTTTCTCTCATATCGGGAATATTGATGTGGTCAGGCATCCTTCCCAAGCAGTTTCCCTCCGTGTGGTGATCCAAACATATTTCATCACATGGTTTCACCATATTGGAGTTTTTCACTTTGGCCATGAGGATGAGGAAATGAGGAGGGAGGCAGAGAAGGAGAGGGCAGGGGGGAGAGGGGAGAAACAGAGAGAGAGAGAAATAGATATGAGAGAGGGATAATGAGAATGCATAAGAGCTGAGGATCTTACAAATGATTTTAGGGGCCAAACATGGAAGTGGCAAACACATCATTTCTGCTCCCATTCCATTGGCCACAACTAGTCACATGGCTCCAACCTGCCTGCCCAGGGTTCTGAGGAGTCAGTTCTCCCCTGTGTGCCCTATAAAAAGAAGCAGCATAGATGAGTATCCAGCTAGTCTCTGACACAACAGTTAGCCATGTAATTTATTTCCTGCTAGTGGCAGACATTTTCTATAATTAATCTATTTGTACACTTCACTGTAAACTATTCCTGAAATTCTGTGTAATACCGGGACCAGCAAAGGACTCAAGAGAATTTACAATCATTATGTTCTTTTCTTATTTTAGAAATTTTCAGAAATTCAGGGAATTTTCGGAGACATCTACTTCTGAACATTTTATTGCTGTGCAGTTAGCCAAGAAACAAGGACTCTTGGTGACAGTATCTTAATGGCAGTCCTTGACAGGCAGGTCCCTATTAACGAGAAAGTTTTTAGCTTTGTAAACCGCTGATGGTCAGTAAATGACAAAAGGCAAGGAAGTTAATGATCCTGTTGTACATTGAAATTACATGGGACAATGTAAGAGTAGAGATTTTTTTGTTTGTTTTGCTGCTCCTTAATAAATATGGCTCACTACTGTAGCCAATATTTGTACTCAGCTCTGACAGAAAGGATGATGGCAACTTTCTGTGTCTTATATCACCAAATAAAGTGACTTATTCCTGCAGGTTTATTAATAATATTTCAGTTGAGCAGTTCTTTTCAATCATAATTGGCCTCTGCACACATCGAGCAGTTTATTTTTTTTTATTTATTTTTTTATTTTTTGCGGTACGCGGGCCTCTCACTGCTGTGGCCTCTCCCGCTGCGGAGCACAGGCTCCAGACGCGCAGGCTCAGCGGCCATGGCTCACGGGCCCAGCCGCTCCACGGCATGTGGGATCTTCCCGGACCGGTGCACGAACCCGTGTCCCCTGCATCAGCAGGCGGACTCTCAACCACTGCGCCACCAGGGAAGCCCCGAGCAGTTCATTTCTAAGAGAAAAGCTGGGAGAGTTTATAGCTACGTGGACACCTCAGGGCCATGCCTAAATAAGCTTTGGGTTAATATATACCTTACATTTTGAAGTGTTTCATAGTTCTGTGTAATGATTTTGAATCCCATTTCTTCTGCCAAGGTTCAGATGTTTAACACCACTGGGAAGCAATATAATGTAATGGTTGACTGTGTGATCTGCAGTATCAGACTGAGTTTGAATCCCAATTCTGCCACTCAGTCACTATGTGACCTTGGAAATTTTCACTGTTTGCTATGGTTGCCTAGGTATTTCTGATAACAAATATCAGACTGGGTGGCTTAAACAACAGAGATTTATTTTCTCACAATTCTGGAGACTGGAAGTTTGAGATCAAGGTATTGGCAGGGTTGGAGGTGAGAGCCTCTCTTCCTGGCTTGTCAACGGTGGTCTGACTGTGTCTTCACGTGGCCTTATCTCTGTATCATTCAGAACATCAGCTCCCAAACTTGAGTCAAGGACACCACTAGCCTCACTGACTCACTCCTTTATCCCCTAGCAGAACAGCTGCCCAGTCTTACCAGGTTTTCTTTTGAAATGACTCTGAAATATTTGTCTTTTACAAATGTTAATAATAACAAGTATGAGGATTCTCACATATAAATATAATATATATGAAATAATTTTTAACTGACTATAAAACAATAGGTATATGTACTTTTATGATCATAAAGTCTGAAGTATGTCTTATAGGGATTGGTGGAACATATTATTAAGTAATTAGTTTGCTACCTAACTATTTTTCTGTAAATATATTTAACTTTCTATGAAAGAAAAAAAAACCAGCAGTGACAAAAAAATCCTTCCCTATCAGTCCTTCCCTGTGCATGTCCACTGCCCTCACTGGCCTCCATCTTCTAATATTAAATCATCACACTGTACACCTTAAAAAATCACGCTGTACAACCTAAATATGTACAATTTTTATTTGTCAGTCATATCTCAATAAAGCTGGGGAAAAAAATGAAGTTGCTTTTCCACTGTTAAAAATATAATAATAATATGAAGAATAGTGCAATAGCGTCTCTGACTGCTGTCTTCCCTCCATTCTGGTCATTCTATTGTTACATTTTTCTTCCTTGGTTCTTATGTGTCTCTTTCCTAAAAAATATTCTGAAATTTTGACTTTTTTTACTCGGTTTTATTTAATTTTTAATCTAATTCTTTTGGCAGAAAAGAGCAAGTTAGTACCTTGTATCAAAACATCAACCTCGTGGAGCCAAGACTAATTCAGCCATATGAACATGTTATAAAGAACTTCATCCGTGAGATCAAACTTCAAAGCACAGAAATGGAAAACCTGGCCCTTGCAGTGAAGAGGTATTGTAGTCTTTCCTGTCTACGTGGCAGAAGGGGTCCTTTAACTGGCTTTCTGACCAAGTGGCACAAAGACGGAACTGCATTATCATATGGTATGGGGGGACGACCCGAACCTGAGGAATCTGGAGCTTTCTAAACTAAGCCAGCATGAAGGAAGCTGAGTCAGACAGTACGTTGTAGGGTCAGCCAGCAATCCATCAGCAGGTCCCCATGATCCTATCATATAAACCCTTCAAGGCCTGTGATGCCATATATAACAGTTCAAAGAGATTCGTTATCTTATATCCAGCCACTTGAAACATACAGGATACTTTTCATCCAGAGGGGCAGGCAGACTCCATTTGAAGCCTGGCCTTATCACTGACACAAGAGTGACTTTGGGCAGGTTACTTAATCTCCCTGAGTCTCAGCTTCTGCATCTGCAAAACGAGGCTGTAAATATTCACATCCTCGGGGTGTGGAGACCTCATAGTGAGGCTTGGGTGAATCACTTGGCACTGGGCCTACCACATGGTGGGTACTCAGCAGTGTTTCTTTCCTTGTCTCTAACCCTCCTCACCAGCTTGATCTGAAAGCCTAAAAACTGTTGAACCCTTACTCTCATACAGTTTATATAAGCCACAGCTGGCTGACATAGGATATCTTATTGGTTTTAACAGCAACCCAGTGCCAAAAAAGAATTTATATGTGTTGCAATGCAAACATCAGCCTCTTTGTTCCCTGGAAGACCACACTCCTTTGGCATATATTGGGAGAGAGGGCATGTTGTTTGTCACAATTCCTGGGTGTTCTGCCCCACAGATGCTTCTCATCTCCATGTGCTCTGCCGCCAGCAGCTCCCAGCGTGCTGCGCACCGCGCTGGTCTCTGCCCAGAGCTTGTAAACAGCCCCTTTCATAGGATGCCCCCCATTTGCAAGGGGGCAGGTGAAGGCCGTTCCTCTCTCTTTATTCTTTCCCTCCACATGATGATAAAACTATCTAGCTGACCCTGTGAAGTAATTAAAATACAGAAGAGAAAATGTTTTAAAACACTGATGCTAAATAGAACTGTTTTTATAGTCCTAGAATCATACAAGAGTTGGAACTACCCACAGGGATTTGTTTGTTTGTTTGTTTTTTGCGGTACGCGGGCCTCTCACTGTTGGGGCCTCTCCCACTGCGAAGCACAGGCTCCGGACGCGCAGGCTCAGCGGCCATGGCTCACGGGCCCAGCCGCTCCGCGGCATGTGAGATCTTCCCGGACCAGGGCATGAACCTGTGTCCCCTGCATAGACAGGTGGACTCTCAACCACTGCGCCACCAGGGAAGCCCACACAGGGGGTTTTTAAGTGAACATTTTCAGTTCCTGACTCCAATCTTTTCTCTCAAGTTTGCCTGCTAGAGGCTTTCAATGAGATCATAGGGCGGTCCTCAGATCATCAGTTTCTGTAGAGCATTCTGGGGTGTGGATCAGAGCCCCAGATTTGGCCTCCTTTGAGGGGTGACTAGCAGACACACATACTGAGTTTTTAAAGAGTCCAGTGAATATCTGTGAAAACACACTAACTCCCCTGTACACACACAGATGGGTATACACAGACCCCCACAAAGATACATGGGACACTCACACATTCATTCACACATAACCTCTAAGTATAGTCCTGTGTAAACCCATAAGGGAAAGAAGAATGGCATTCTCTTCCCTCTGCTCTCATTCCCAGCCAGGCCGCTCTCTGCTGTGGACGGAGTGCGTCACGTGATGTGGAGCTGATGGTGCTTCTCTCCTCCCAGCTTCTGTGCTCTGTGGGTGGGATCTGAAGTCGGGCTCTGTCCTAAGCCCAAGGCCTCCTAAAGGCCGCTCTCTGAGCTGGCAGAGACCTTGCCGAGGTGTTTAAGTGACTACTGTAAATATTCCCTTACATCCTTACCTAAGGACCATGCGTCCCCACCTCTGTTTTTGGTTAGGGGAGGGCCTCAGTCTTTTCGCTCAGCACTTGCACCTGAAGAAGGGGTTCCCAGTGTCCTGGTAGGAGCCCTGGACTAAGGTTAAAGTGGACATTCCCAACATGGTAGATACTTTACTGGGAATTGGGAATTGCTGGGGCAAACAGTGTGTCATTATAGACTACCCTGATTTACTCCCCCTCCCCCAAAAAATAAGAAAGAAAGAAAAAAGAGTTGTTCAGAAGTGAAAAGGGCAGGAGGAACACATTGGGGAGGCGTCCCAGATGCTCAGATGTTTGGGACTGGATGTCTAGAGGGAAATGGCTGGAAAAAAATAGTCATAACAAAGGGAGAAATGGATGTGTGGCTTAGCTATTCCCAGTCCCAGAGTTGACCAAAAAACCCCGAAAGTTGCTGTGGAGATACATAATGCCTAGATTTCAAACATCAAGTGTTTGTAAACAAACCAGAACTAGCTGACTGTCCAAACTTGGTTAACATAACCTCGGGCAGGCTGTAAGGTGAAGAGGAAGTTAACAGGAGCAGAAAATAGTGATAAGTCACTCCAAATTTTACTTCCGGGTCTTCCCTCCACCCATCAATGCTTGTTTGGAAGCTCATGTAGAAATTAAATTAATGCATGAACAAATTGTGTTGGGAGGGAGTAAATAAGTTGAAAGCAGGTAGGATGGTATAGCAGAAGCTATCAGACTGGAAGACAGAGGCCTTCTACTGAGGTCCTGTTTCTACTTTTATTAACACCATGTCATTGGGCCAAGTACATTGACTCTAAATCTCATGGTGGCTGCTTTCAGGTCATTTCCAATCTAGTTGAGTAGGCAAGACATACACATGTGAAAATTTAGATAATTGGACACAGAGCTGAGAGAGAACAAAAAATAAATTTTTTAGGGCTTAATCTGAAGCTTCAATCATTGTAAAGTGACAGGTGTCTCCATACTAGACAACTGCTAAATAAAACTATCTGGGTATCTTCTCAACGAAATTTTCTCATTTCTAACTTTTTGGCAGATCAGTATTCTCTGCCTCCAGAGAAATATGATTTATGGATTGTATTAATACAAGAAACAGGAATTTTCTAAAGGGCAACTATATCTACATTCTAGAACTTTAGAGAACCAATCAGAAATAATTTTTGAGATCTCTTCTTTTTTTCCCTTCTAACTATAGCATTTAGCATTGTGTTTTTCATATGATAAAATTTCAAAATTTTATCTAACCATCTCTTTGCCTTGGAGTTCTTGTCTGGGATTGTAGCTCAGTCATCGCATCAAAAAAGGTTTTCAGAATTTATTGAGAGCCTCCCAGCAATTTGGTATCTTTATCTGTTCTTTGCTACAATCTAGTTTAATACCATTTATTCCATTTATTTAATATCTAGTTTCAATGTCCCTTTACACCCAACTGATCGAATTGCCAACATCATTTTATTATGTGGAAGGAACAGGGAATATTATTTTAAATGGTATGTTTCTCCTCATCTGTAAAATAGAGAGCTTGAAATAGATGAGGTCAGAGTTTTCTCTTCATGTTACAAGGCCAACAGTATAATGAAAAGGTGTGCATCCTCTTAAATTTCAGAGCCCAGGACAAGGCAGCCATGCAGTTGAGTGAATTGGAAGAGGAAATGGATCAGAGGATTCAGGCTGCAGAACACAAGACACGGAAAGACGTGAGTTTGTGGGATGGCCCCTTCATGCGACGAATCCTCAGAACACCTTTTATGGACAGGGCACCGGGCATCCTCTGGGTGCAGCAAGTCCAGACTGCCACAGATGCTCTCAACAAGGGCACTGTTAGTGCTGGTGGTTTTATCAGGGCGGGGGGGGGGGGTAGGGTAAGGAGAGAGGGAGAGGGAGGGGGGGAGGGAGAGACAGAGAGAGAGAGAGAGACAGAGAGAGACAGAGAGAGACAGAGAGAGAAAGTAATCAAATAAAGTGGCTAATTTCAGATGGCAACAAGCACAGTAAAGAAATGGCATGTGTGATAGACAGGCTGCTTCAGGTTGGGAGGTCAGGGGCCTCTGTGAAGAGGGGACAGGAGAGCTGAGGCCTGAAGGAGAAGGCAGAGCCCGCCTTCGTAAAGGATGGTGGCTCCACCCTTAATACCACTGTCTTGCTGCCCACGTCCACCGCTACTTTAAATCTAGATTACAATGAAGTTAAAATGCTCTCTGCTAATTTTGGTGTTGTTTTACAATGGGATATACTTTTACTCATCAATATAGGAACTCTCATAGTTGAAAGTTGGGTGCTACCTTCAGTGATTTCCATAGGAGAAATAATTATCTTTTTCCTTTATGAAATATATTTGGGTGATTGATGTTTACTGAAAACAGAAAATAGACATATTTCTTTGAGTAGCTAAGTTCAGGTTGAACATTCCCTTTTTTTCTATTCATTTTCCCCATTAACTCTGAGAGGCAGAAAACTGAGTGAGAAGGGCCTGGGTATTGGCATCCAATAGACCTTAGTTTGCCTCCTGGCTCTGCCCCGTCTCAGTTCAGTGGCACTGGAAAAATAACATAACCCCTGAGCCTTTGTTGTTCCAACTTTAGATGGGATAATGCCACCTACCTGCTTTAAGGAGGGTCGAGCCTGGTGATCTGTATGCGTGCCTAGCGCAGTGCCTGAGGTATGGTAGGGGCACCGTGGCCATTGCAGCTCTGCTCTTTTCCGGTGCTCTGCGTACCTTGTGTCCTTTCAGATTCTTCACCTTAAATTGCTTTACCACATGTATGCCTTCGGGTCTCTTGATTGTCTTATCTCTTAATAACACATTTAATAACTGTTTGGAAGTCATGTTCACAGAGTGACTAGCTCGGAGTCCATGGTCCAGCTTTATTACAATGATTATCCCATTCTTTTGTTAGCGCTTTATTTCTTCTAGTCTAGAAACAGTAACATCCTATTTCTTTCTGCCTCTTTCCCTCTCCATCCATTTAATCTGTGCATTCATTCATTCATCACACACTTATCAAGCATGTGCGTTATTCTGTCATCAAATCTCCGCCTCTTCCAGCTAAGCACTTCCCAGACTGGTTGTTGGTGATGGATACCTGACCATGGCCGTACCCCTTATCACTTCATGTTTTGTTAATTATACCATCTTCCTCATTTTCCTTGGCTCTGGTACAGGGGTGGTGAATACATGGCATCTTTCTCTGTTCCACAGCGATGGCATAAGTGGCTGGTGAGTCACTGCACAGATGTGGTCTCTGAAATCTCAGCACACTGCTGCCAATGGAGCAGCTTTGGCCCTGGGATGACACCTATTTGCCAGTCTGCCCCAGTCTCCTAGTCTCTCTGGAATAACACATCCACGCTGACTGAAGGTTTTCCCTAACTCACCTCCACTAAGCGTGGCTTACCTTGGCTCCCCACACACAGTTCTTCACCCCGCAGCTCTGGCCTGGCTCATTGCTCTGCTTTCACTCCAGCTGGGTTTTTTTGCCTTGATAACTCCTCTCCACTTTCCTAAATTTTGCAAAGATCAGAGAAAGTCTCCCCTTCTCCCCAGTGCCCTCCCCTAGTCCTCTAGCCACGTTCACCTCTTCCTGACCTTGACTCCTCTTGCACATAGAGTGTTTATCCCATTGTTTCAGTTAAGGTTTTAAAAATATGTTGTAACAGCTTTATTGAGGTATAATGGGCATGCAATAAACTGTACCTACTCAAAGTGTAGAATATGATAAGATTGGATATGTGTGTATACCGAGAAACCATCACCACAATCAAGATAAAGGTATGTTCACATACTGTTGGTTTCCACGCCCCTGTGTCATGCCATCCTTCTTTGCCCCTCCTTGTCAGGCAACCATTTCACGTCTTCTTTGGTGAAGCGTCTATTAAAATCTTTTGCTCACTTTTAAAACTAGGTTGTTTGTTTTCTTATTATTGAGTTTGGGGAGTCCTTTATATATTCTGATCTATAAATATTTCCTGACTTATCTTTTCATTCTCCTAACAGTGTCTTCTGAAGAGCAGAAATTTTTTATTTTTATGAAGTCCAATGCATCATAGATTTAAAGTAGTGGTGGACGTGGGCAGCATGGATATGTTTTTTCTTTCACGGATATGTTTTTAAGAAATCTTCACGTAACCCAAGGTTGCAAAGATTTTCTCCTGTGTTTTTTCTATAAGTTTTATTGTTTTAGATTTCACATTTAGGATCTAGTTTGTAAGGTATGGATCAAAGTTCATATTTTTTGCATACGCATATCTAATTGTTCCAGCCCATTTGTTGAAAATACTATCTGTTCTCTGCTAATTGCCTTTGCACTTTGTCCAAAATCAGTTTTCTGTATTTGTGTTGGGTTTATATCTGGGCTCTCCATTCTGTTCTATTGATTGATTTGTCTATCTTTATGCTGGTATTACATTGTCTTGATGATTATTGCTTTATAATGTCTTGAATTAGTTCCATAATGAGTCTAGTATTAGTTCTTCAGCTTTGTTCTTAAGTTGTATTGGCTATTTTAGGTCCTCAATTTCCTTGTCAGCTTGTCAATTTTGAAAAACAACAACAACAAAAACCCAAAACCTGTTGGGGGTTTGACTGGACTTCATTGCATCTATAGATCAACTGGGGGAGATTTGGCATCTTATTAATAATGAATAATCCACAAACCTGATATATTCTCCATTTATTTAGGTCTTATTACACTCAACTCCACTGGTTATAAACTTAAAACTTTATTTGAATACAGAATATAGGATATTAAATTCCATAATGTGTTAATGTGGTAAGAGAAAAAGGAAACTGAAAGGCTCGTGGGAGCTGCAGCCCCTGACCTCCTGGAGTGCCCTTTTGTCATTCTCTGTACCAGGGGTGACACACATGAGAAGTACCAGCCTATGGGGCAGCACTTTGCATAGAAATTTGCAGGTGATGTGGTTTGAATTTAGATAAGGTGTAAACTCTTGGAAAAACAGTAAACCCATCAGGCCTTCCTGAGTCCTGATGACATGATAGGATTCAGGCAAGCACTGGGGCCCTTGATTGTGCCATAGCTTTTAATTAAACACAGCAGTATTTAATTAGATAGTTAATTGATGTGCTGCAGCCCTCTATCACAGTTGAGTAGTGGTCTTAGAGGTGTCACCCCAGGTTACGTGTGTATGTAGGTTGTGGGATTCCGCAGTTCTTTCAGTCTTGTAAGTTTCCATTCCAGAAGTGCTGGGCATCTAAAGTTTGGTTACTTCTGTTTTACTTTCTCACTGTCTCTGTGTAGGAGACTTGGGGTCAGCCTTAGTTTGACACAAAAGGTTTCTCACCTACAGGATTTTGAAGAACCTATTTAAATCAACAAACAAAATCTTTTTTTTTTTCTTTCAGGAAAAACGCAAAGCTGAAGAAGCCCTCAGTGACCTCAGGCGTCAGTATGAAACAGAAGTGGGAGATCTACAGGTGACAATAAAGAAACTCAAAAAGGTAGGTTTGTGGCAGCTGGACTTTGAGGGATACTTTCAGTATCTCAATGTGTCTACATTTTTAGCAACTAAAAACATGCAGAATCATATTGAAGCAGTGGATAGATTAGATTTCAGAATCAAATTGGACTCCTTGGCAAGAATTTTTTTTAAAGGCCTGTAATTTCTATTTCTAAGGGCAGCCTATCTTCTGCATAGATCTAATAAATATTTCTGGTCCCTTGAACAGTTGTCCATCAAACCTCAGTTTTCTTTCCTTGGTCTTTACCAAGTGCCCTCAAGTCCCACGTGTCTAGTGGACTGTCTGCTCATGACAGCCTGGACACTGTCTTTCCTGGTCATGTAGCCCTACACTCAGCTTACTGCAAGGTGTATGTATTCAGTGAATATTTATTAAATGAAATGAATACTTCTCTTCTCTGTGGAAAGTTCCAGATCTAGAGGACCACTGATCAGCAAGAAGTGGGAGAGAACCTGTTGACATGAAAGCAGAGGTGTGATTGGTTTTGGCCTCTGCTCTATTTGGTTTCTAATGATTAGGGTCCATTTCACTCAGTGGTATGCTGGTAGATGTTTAACAACAGGCTCTGGAGAGGGGAGGAAGGGAGGAGGCATTTGTAGCATTTGCCGATCTTCATGGTATAAATATTCCCACCATTACCGATTTCAAGCTACCAAGTTGACATCACTGAATGCAGAGTTTGGGAAGAAATGCTTAAAATAAATAGGCTCTTGCCTGCTGGTACACATTGGCTCCAGCATAATATTGGATTCACTTCCTGCATGTGGATGGTCTCCATAACTAACGGAAATACCTTAGCTAAAATGAAAATGGGTACTTAAAAAATAATCGTCCCCGAAAGTGGCATTGTGAATTTAGGCACATCACTCTGCTTCTCTGGTTGTTGATATGATAACCTTTAATGCTCCTTCCAGTGTTTATACTGAATGAGATTAAGTGACAATTAACTGCATTTGTGGGTTACTGCAATTTAAACCTCTGGAATTATTAAGAATTCTCCCCAGTATCCTTCTTGGAAAAGTATTATCAACGTCAACCTTATATCTGATTTCCAAAGGTCATTAGACCATAATATTATTCTTGTATTACAGAAATTGAATGGACCAATCCTTTGCTTAATGCTAGAGTCACAGATTCTCCTAGTCACTGTCCTCAATTATTTCTGCGTCATCCAAATCTTTAAACTAAGAGAATGTTTGCAAGAGGAGACACAGAGTTGTTTTTTCATATAGCATATGATGAAGACCAAATAGGCCCTGAACAGTAAGAGTCAGGAGCGACGAGACCCAAGTCCTTATCAAGACTGTGCCAATTTCAGACTCCCCTGGTGGTGCAGTGGTTAAGAATCCGCCTGACAAGGCAGGGGACACGGGTTTGAGCCCTGGTCCAGGAAGATCCCACATGCCGCAGAGTTAATAACTAAACCCATGCGCCACAACTACTGAGCCTGCGCTCTAGAGCCAGCGAGCCACAACTACTGAGCCCGCGTGCCGCAACTACTGAAGCCCACGCACCTAGAGCCTGTGCTCTGCAACAAGAGAAGCCACCGCAATGAGAAGCCCACGCACCTCAAGGAAGAGTAGCCCCCGCTCGCCGCAACTAGAGGGAAAGCCCATGCGTAGCAACAAAGACCCAACGCAGCCAAAATAAAAATTTTAATTTAAAAAAGACTGTGCCAATTTCTTCTGTAACACCCAGGACAATTGGCTTCATCGTTCTTTTTTTTTAAATAAATTTATTTAGTTATTTATTTATTCATTTATTTTTGGCTGCGTTGGGTCTTCGTTGCTGCACGCGGGGGGCTTTCTCTACTTGTGGCGAGTGGGGGCTCTTCATTGCGGTGCACAGGCTTCTCACTGCGGTGGCTTCTCTTGTTGCAGAACATGGGCTCTAGGTGCACAAGCTTCAGTAGTTGTGGCATGCGGGCTCAGTAGTTGTGGCTCATGGGCTTGGTTGCTCTGCGGCATGTGGGATCCTCCTGGAGCAGGGATCGAACTCGTATCCCCTGCCTTGGCAGGCAGACTCTTAACCACTGCACCACCAGGGAAGTCCGGCTTCATCATTCTGATCGTTAGCTTCTCATCTGTAAGATGGGATTAATAATAAACTATCCTGTCTAACCACAGTGACTGACATTTTATTGACTTTGTAGCTTATTAAGCTCTTCATAATTTAAAAAAATAAAATGCTTAAACTTTCTCTGAGGAAAGTGCAAACTTCACACTTTTACAGACAAGAACACTGAGTTCCAGGTTAAATAACTTGCACAAAGTCACTCAGCTAATAAGCAATGGGTTGTCTTTCTGTCTTTACACAGTTGGTGCTTTCTCACTTATACCAGCCTTCCTGCCTGCCTGATAGGGTTGTTCTGCGAGAGAGTAAGAGATAATTTATGGGAGAACATGTTAAAAGCTGTAAAGGAATATACAGAAGTCTACAGATTTAGTATAATCGCCAGACGTTACCTTATGCCAGTGGTTCTGAGAAACTCATTTTTTTCCCCACAATTTTTTTTCTCTGAAATTGGCATGATCTTAAAATCAGTGGCTCTTTCGGCTTCAGCCACTTGAAAACCTTCCACTGATGCCATCTGGCAAGATGAAGAAAGTCTATCATCAAAGTACTTAGATTTTGATGAAATATCGCATTCATTTTGATCAATGCATTCATATTCTATTAATGGACACCCACAAATCCCCACATTTCCCAAGGGATGTAAGCTATGTGTAAGAAAGACATTTTTGTTGTCCATGTTAGGGATGCTTCTGAGCCAATTTAGTCTGGTAATACTCAGTAATCAACCAGGAAGTAAAGCTCATTTGTGTATTTATATAATTTTGTGTGTGTGTCTCTAACTTCATACCATACTTAAATTTTATTGACTTAAATCATTAAATAAGCATTTTTTGACATCACCATGAAGAAAACATAGTTGATTTTTGACACCAATTCTGCTCTTAAAAATCTTGGACTCTAGTAAGAGAGTTAAAACACTCATAAGTAATTACGATATAGAATAGCAAGTGTTAAATGCAGATAAAGTCTAAGAGAATATAAAGGTCCAGACTCATACGCAACATAACTGAAAAAGGGAGGACTGAGTTGTTTGGTAGTTGAATGGTTTCCCCAAAACGGCTTTTCAATTGTTTCAAAGAAAAATATACACACTACTATATATAAAATAGATAACCAACACAGACCTACTGTATAGCACAGGAAACTATACTCAGTATCTTATAATAACCTATAATGGAAGAGAATGTAAAAAAAGAATATATATATGTGTGCGTAATTGTACATAAGTACATATGTATACTATGTACTTTACACCTGAAACTAACACACTGTAAATCAACTATATTTCAATTAAAAAAAAAAAAGAAAAAAAATGTACCTTGGCAAAAAAAAGAAAATTCATGAAATAAGAAAACCCCTTTTTTAAATGTTTAAATTATTTAAAGCAAATTTTCAAATCCTTCTGGATTATATGTAGTTTAATGATTTATAAGGTCATATAATGTTGACAGTTGGAGACTTCTAGAATTCCCATATCTATATGCACATATATTCCTAAACTTAACCAAATCAATTCAAAGTGAGTTTGTAAACTCCCAAATTTTATTTGCTTTTTCAGCTAGAAGAACAATCAAAACACATAAGTCAAAAGGAAGATGTAGCTGCATTAAAAAAACAAATTTATGACTTATCAATGGTAAGAATTAACTTTTCACTTACAGTAATATATTTCCTGTTAGACTACTGTTTCCTAAATAAAATCATGCTATGATTTCAATATTCCAGGAATAAAAGCTTAAAGAGAAATTAATACTACAGTTAGAGAAAGTCTTTGAAATACCTCTGACTAAAGGTATTATATTTATGCAGGCTTTTTCCCTCAGTGATACCTATTGTAAATGCTTTTTTTTTTTATTCAAAGCAATAATGGCATGGCCTTTAAATTTTAAATAGTTAACCCCTGCATTCTTATAACATCAACTTTTATCTGTTTCCCTGACTTTGTAAGATGAGGTATTATTGCCCTGCCCTTCCTCCAAGTTTTCTGTCTGTCCCTTTTCCATCTTCTGCTGACCATATCTTTAGTATTTCTGTTGCCATAGATGATAACATCTACATCGTTATATTATCGTCATTTTCTTTATTTTGTTTTCAGGTTGACTCTAAAAGTTGAAAACCAATAATGAACATTTCCTTTATCGTGACTCTAAATATTCTCCCTGCAGAGCCAAGAAGTGAGCTAAAATTGCAGTTCTTTCTCTCCAGTCATTATCCCTGTGCCACTCAAAAGAGAAGGTCCCCCAGCTTTGTGGTCAGATAAATCCCCTTTATGCATTACCAGTTTCAGATTTTGCTACCTCCTAGTTGGTTTTGTGCTTGGATCACAATGTTCTCGTAGAGTTGCTTACTTCTCTTGGATTCTCTGGTGGAGTTTTTGGTTTCTTGTAAAAAGAACCTGCCATCTTCATGATATTACCTATACCTTGCAACTTCTTATTTATTCTTTCCAGTACATGGAATTTGTTTTTTTCTCCTTGAAAATATTAATTTTGGAGTCCAGGAAATTTCAATTCTTATTGGACTGGCTGCTTTTTAAACTTGCTACCCAGATGTCATCTTGGAATTTCTGATCATTTTAGGTAGCTGTGGTAGGATTCCTGTACAGCTAGGCAAACATCTGTTTAGCTCAAGGCCTCTCCCCTGAAAGATGGCCTTCCTCAGAGCTGTGTGTGTGAAGCTGGCTGTCAGACATAGGAACCCAATTACCAGATGCATGGGGCCTGGATGTTCAGAGAGAAGCCTTAGCTTTCCTTTTGGGAATCATTCAGTTATTTTTAAAAAGAAGAGCCCCGTCTTGTTGCCTTCGGAATCAACTCTGGCTTATCTGCTCTTCTTTCCTAGGGTAAGAGCAGGTAAAGGCTTGAGAGGCAGCATGTCTTAATGTACAGTTTTAATCTGTATTTCCAGACCCCCTTTCTCACTCTCTGGGGTTCTGCCTGACCAGTTGTCTCTTCTTTGTTCTACAGCAGAACCTTCAACACACATCTTCTGGACCTCCTTTTCCCCTACTCTCTTCCCTTTGTCAGCACATTGCCATCCAGTTTCCTTTTTCCAGCAATATGTTTAAATCACTTGACTGCTGATGGGCCCCTCTTCCATTCTTTTAATTTTTATTGGTTTATTTCCTTTGGTATTTCATGTTAATGGGGTCTCAAAAGGGAAAGAAGACAAATTCATGTGCCCAGTCCACCATATTGAACTGGAAGCCTCCAATGATTTTTTTTCTTCTTTCTCTTTTTTGCTTTTGTGTTTGTTTTTTTGTTTTTAAGAAAAATATAGAAATCTCCTAACCACACTGGCTTATTTTCAAGTGCAAAATTTAAAATTTTAGGTGATAGGATTTATTGTGAAAAGTAGCCAGTCTACCTGGTAACAGGTATTGTTAATTCCACAGAATATCTATCAGTAGTTCCACAGCTCTCATTAAGTAAAACAGATGTTTAAATGTTTGGTCTCTGTTAATTTGCCAATAACATGTTAAAGTACGTCATGATAAACTCTTGACTGTTGTAGTTTCACACCAAATGTCAAGTATTTTAAAAAAAGAGCTTTGAGGATTTAATTTTTGATACTTTCTTTAATACTTTATGAAAATATCAAATTACCTTGAATTGATAATTACTTCTTTGAACACCAAGACTTGAAGACTTGTGGAGGGGTGAGAGTGATGTGTGGGAAGGTTACACTACACTTGACTTCACTTCTCCCGGGTAGAAACTCTGAGTCTAATGACCTGCACTGTGCCTTTCCTCTAGGAAAATCAGAAAGTTAAGAAAGATCTTTTAGAAGCACAGACAAACATAGCCTTTCTTCAGAGTGAATTAGATTCTTTGAAAAGTGATTATGCTGATCAGAGTCTGAATTCTGAAAGGTATGAAACTTCACATTTTACTTTCCAGTTTGAGTGGAATGTTTATTTAGGTAACCATCCATGTCAATGAAGCTCAGCTATGTAGTAATAAAGGGTTCTTTATTAACTTTACTAATGTGTTCTTTGCTTTCTAAAGATTTTACTTTAGGTGTCAGATTTCCTAGTGATTTTTGTGTTTTCAATTTTTTAAATTATCGGCTGCTCAGGAAAGTGCAGGGCTTAGTAATGTTTGAATTAACTGGCAGCAGAAGAATATATCTAAAGTGTCAAGAGGCAGCGCTAACTGAAGTGCTTTGAAGGTAGGAATCCTGGCCCTACAACATAAAATAATGGAAAATGAGACATCTTAGGCAAGTCATTTTATTTTGCTGTGCTTTAGTTTTGCAGTATGGTGTTAATGACATATGACCTAACACACATGTACCCACAGAGGCATGTAATTATATATAAGGAAGATACACATGTATATTTATATAAGGGTATTTAAATATAAAATTCATCTATATGCATTAGTATTATGTGTGTATCCCCTAGTACATGTATACTTGAGAAAAACACCTTGTGTTTTGTTGGTTTGCAGACTTTAATCAGAATTAAGGTCCTGTAATGGAAAGCAGTGAAACATTTATTAAGTACTTACTATATACAGGTTCCTGAGCTAGATAAGGAGTTATGAGTGTGGAATATATAAAAAAAGAAAAGACGTGGCCTCTGCTCTTTGAGAACTTCAAATTTAGTTGGGAAAAATTAAAAGTTAAAAGCATTATGGAGTTAAACAGCATAAGAACTCAGCCATGTCAGAAACAATACCACTGCAGTGTCACAGGTTGGGTTCATTGCCATGAGATGGTAGACAGAGTGTTCCTTTAATTCAGAAAGGTGGAGACTTTATTAAAGAAGAGATACTTGAGATGAGTTTGTCAGCAAGCAACAGAGGTCACACTGACAATTGCCCGGCACTGTCTTTAGTACTTTACTAGCATTAACGCATTCATGGTTTCCTATGAGATAGGGACTTTCCTTATCCCCATTTCACAGATGGGAGAAGAGTCTCAGATATGTTCCAGGTGAGGCAGAACCCAAAGCGGGGGCAAGGACATGGGGAAGGATAAGACTGGTTTGGGGAACAGTGGTCAGCCTGGTGGACAGAAAAAGATATTTGGAATGGAAAGGCAAACGTTTAAAAAAGATTAAAAAGTTTAAAAGCTAGTTTAAGGCTATAATGTAAGGCCCCAGAATTTTTGGCTAAGGAACTTAAATTCCTACAGACAATTGGGAAACTTTTAGCCTTATCAAGAGAGCAAATGGACAGCTTATTACAGACAAAATTTGACAGCCTGAGGGTTTTTGGAAGCTAGTGATGGGGTTTTATCTGCTTAGAAATGGGGCAGGTGTGAGGTAGGGGCTGGAGGTAAGTGGCTGATGTTCTGAGTGGACATTTTAAGGAGGAGGCCAGGGCTTCTTCATAATAAAGCAACAGAGGAATCGCTGAGCGTGAGTTTACAGTGAACAGAGAAAGCCTGGTCCTGTGGATTCCACTGTGGCTTAGGGTAAGGCGGGGAGGGCAGGCAGGGCTGGGAGCACAGAGACGAGAAGGAATCACAAGAAGGGAGAGTACAGCTGGGGCTGAAGTTGCACACGGCTTGGAATGAGCAGAGAAGAGTCAGAGGTGAGAGAATGGATTGGGCGGAAGGGATTGGTAATGTGAGTAGCTGGGGAGAGGGGACTCAGCAGAACATCAGGGGGTTCAGTCCCAGTGAAGAACAGAACCAGGTCAGTGGGCTGGGGTGGAGGAGCTGGTGGGTGCGGGGAGGGGGACGGGGGGAGCAGAGCCTTGCGAGAGGAAGCAGAGGTGTGGATGTGCTTGTGGGTCACAGGAGGAGAGGAGGCTGCTGATGTCTCAGAGGAGCCGGGCAGCAGCACAGAGAGATCGAAGACCACGGCCTTCGGAAAAGGCAGAAAGAGGTCTGGGAGGGTAGGCGTCGGTAAGGCAGGACTGAACACCTAATCCGCATTCAAACATAAAATATAATTTTACAGGGATCTGGAAATAATCCGAGAGTACACAGAAGATCGAAATAGTCTTGAGAGGCAAATTGAAATACTCCAGTAAGTTCTCATATAAAGTCCTCATCACATTTACATTTAACTTATGTTTTGTTAGTAAAACAGGTGCCACATGTAACACGAGTTGCCATATATCAAAGGCTGGGTTCGCGGCTCCACGCGTGTCCCTTCTCAACACAGTGTGTTCAGCACGTCAGCTTGGCTTTCTGATGCTTCTAATCCTACATAAACTATTCACATCCAGGGACTAGAGTATAATTCTCTAAAAGTGCTCGCAAGTCAGGTGGTATGTCTGGCACGTCTTTATGATACCTTTATTTTACTGTAAAGGACAATGGCACTGACCTCATCAGCTTTCCCTGCAGCTCAGCACACTGAGAGGTTTCAGGCGTCTCACACAGTGCATGTCACATCACTAGGCAAACACGATCATTCTTTGGCAATTTATTGTGTCTGGTTAGCAGTATATTTTTCTTTCCTTCTTTTTTTTAACCTCTTGGAAATATTACACCTGCTTTGTCAAATTTGCAGCTAAGTTTTAGGAATTCCATCCTCTGAGACCTTCCCCACAAAACCTCCCCCTTCCCCACTGCCCCTTTCTCTCTTTTTCACCTAGGCAGTATTTTCTTCTGGTTTTAGTTCCCCCAAACGATGTCAGGTCAGATTTGACAATTTTTTTTCATCATTATGAATGCTTATTACATCTCACCTGTGGCAATGACAGAGTTGATATATTACAAGAATCCTGTTAATTCATTTATTCATTCATTCAGCAGGTTTTCACTCAGCACCTTTTATGGTTCAGGTATGCCAGGAGCTGAGGATACAGTAGCAAGTAGGAGAAAAAGGCCTCTCTCCTTATGGGGCTAGTCCAGGGGAAGAGGATGGAACCTGATCAGTACTTACAGATGTTAGACGCCAAAGGAGCGGCAGGGGCCAAGGGGAGCCAAGTGTCTCGTAAGGGCATCCTCCTAACCAGAAAGGTCTAGGAAGCGTCTGACTTCTGAAGGATGAATAAGCCTGAAGCAGGGAGATAGCAGCCAGTCTCTAAGGCAGAGACTTCATTTGATAGAAGAGGTTGCTCAGTCTCTGATAGCTTAAATGGCTGCTGTAAGGCATATAGAAAGTAAGTACCTGAGTTGGGGTTTGAACCCTGAGTCAACATTGGAGCCTTTAACTGGTATAAAACAGTGCCTAGCGGTACAGCACCATGCCACAAGAAGGATGCAGGAGTAGCCAGGAGAAAGAAGTGTGACATAACACAGCACATCCATGCAGGGGGGATAGAGAGTAGGTAGGGCCGGCTGGCTTCAGGCCTTTAGGGAACAGAGACCTGCACCAAACCTATCCAAATAATGGAGCTACATGAAGGAACAGTGGGTTCCACAGCATAGCTGACTCACTCCTAAAATGCCTTGAGACCTCTAAAGAGAGGTGACACATTGTTAAGTTGCACTTCTAGTAATGAATTATGATCTCAGTTTATGAGGTTTGAAGGGAAGTGGTAGAAAGATACAAGCGGTGGTAATGCCACGTTCTGAATATCACAGCCTGAAAAGAAGTGGTGACTTTCACCCCCACTAATACCTTCCTTATCTATTTATTTACTTTGTAGAACAGCTAACAGGAAACTGCATGACAGTAACGATGGCCTAAGGAGTGCCCTTGAAAACAGTTACAGCAAGTTCAACAGATCCTTGGTATGTGATAGAATTTTATAATGCATTTCATTCTTTCTCGTGGTAGAGTATTTTGATAAAAATCATGTATTTTCTTAGAAGAGAACTTATAATAATGAGAAACTATTTCATATAATAAAAGGAGACATTTTCCCAACTTAAAAAATATGCCACTCCTCTGCATAAATAAATGTCTAGGTGTCAGCCAACTCTTTGTTCAATGTTCCAGAAAACCAGAGAAAGATGTATAAGGTGTGACCTGGGTCCTGGAAGAGTTTATAGTATAGTAGGGAGTTAAGATGTGCACAGATAGCAATAATAGAAGAAAAAGATGTCTCATGGAGGTTAAAATATATATTGCCCAGTTGAGAGGAGAGAGAGGGTGCTTCTGGCTGAGGAGTTTATTTAGACCCACTGGTTTGTTCTTTCTGGTAGTGAGATCATCAGAGTGGAGGCCTTGGGCTTTAAATCCTCCTACAGAAACAAGCTAAGGCCCGTTTGGAATTTTGAGGACCTTTCCCTAGACTACATGTGCCAGAAAGCCTCTTCCCCCACTTTTGGGGGTCAGCTTCAAGGTTGGGGTTCCAGTGCCACAGCTTTGGGTATGGATGAGTCAGCTACTAAGCCAAATGATGGTTTGAGAAGAGATAAATCCTCAGTCAGTATTGCAGGGTCCTGGCAAATCCGGGGAACCAGGATTCCCCTTTATGGCTTATATGGTAGGGTTTGGACTGAAGACATGATGAGGAGAGAGTACTATGGGCAGTTGTTGCAGTTTTTCCCTTGATTTCTGTGCTTTCGTCTTCTCATGTAGGATACCAAACTTTTCATTACATTAGTAAACTAGTGTGCTACAGTTTTTAAAAATGTACATAAAATTTTTACATGGAATAACAAAATATTACATATGTATTTTATGTATTACAGCGCATAAATAATATATCACCAGGGAATACAATTTCCAGAAGCAGTCCTAAATTTAATGCTCATTCTCCTCAACCTCTGGGCTATGACAGGTATGTTAACACCTACTTACTTTTTGTTTAAATTCTGGAACAGAGTTAAAAGGAAAGTACATTTCCTTACAGGTAAATTAGAATAACAGAATATATTTGGGGCACTAATATCTGTTTTCTACTATCTTACTTTAAATTTATGAAACATGAAACATGTAAAGATTAAAGTAAAGATGTTTTAGAGAGAGTAAAGTGATTCCTTTAAGATGTTATCGTGACTTGGTTTTATGTATGCTTACCCTTACCTCATGCCTATTAAGTCTTGTTTCTTAGAAGTGCCCTCAGTAAGAGGCGTTTCAGGGAAGCCAGTGGAACTACCATATGTGATGTTGTGATATACGCAGTATATGATGTTGAGACTCTTGGCACAATCTGTAGTTTAATAGCTCAGTATAATATTATGCAAGCTATGTTCAAGGAAAGGCAAACTTTCAAAACAAACAGAAATGTGGCAAGTAGATGTTTATGTGCTAATGTATTAAAGGAGTCACAGAGGCTTCCCAGAAGTGAGGATTTAGCTCTATTTTTAATCAAATGAAGTGAAATATTAGCCCTGCTATAACTTGAGATCTAGCAGTAAAAACTGAAAGATTACATTTGTGTACACATGTGTATACATATACATGTCCAGTGTTGCTACTTAAAAGGCTAACTTGGAGTATGTCAAAGTTTGATGGTAGACGTGAGTGCATAAACTGCAGGTCTCTGGCTCTCCATTTCTGATGCCACTTTCATAATTTATGTTCCTTCCCTTTTCATTTGAGGACTTTTGGTCTAAAGAATAATGTACTTAGTATCTTGGCATTAGCAAAATGGCCATATCCCCTTTCAGAAAGGTCTGTTTCCAAGGCTTACTGGTAATCACTTTTAATAAAATTCTATCCAAGTATCAGATGTTTTTATTATTCACTGATTTGTTTAATAAAAAATTTGAATGGTTTATCTATTTGTAGGAAACTGGCTTCTCTGTTTCTGAGAAATAGATATTACTTTTTTTTAAGTTTAAAAAGGTATTATCCTTTATTTTTAAAAATTGTGATAAAATATACATAACGTAAAACTTACCATCTTCACTATATTTAAGTGTACAGTTCAGTGGCATTAAGTACATTCACATTGTTTTGCAACCGTCACCACCACCCACCTCCAGAACGTTTTTCTTTTTTCTTTTTTTTTTCCACACACACACACTGTATTTTATTTTTACAATAGCTAAATAAACTGACACCAGGCATTGTACACGGATGACCACAACAAAAGCAACAATGATTGCACTTATGAAACACACTCATACTATGTCATAATATTGACATTCAGTCCAGTAATCCTCCACTGTAACAGCTCCTTTACTTAGCAATGAAAATTGATTTGTATATTTTTTGCCTCTGGGTCCTTGTGGGATTTTTTTTTTTTATTCAAACAGAAAGTCACAAAGATTATAATCATCCTCATCAGTTCACTCAGTCCCATGTAATTAATTTTTTTTTCATCTTGATTTTTGTTAGCACTTTTATGAATTCATCAGTTTTCCATTAGAGTTCTGAAAATGCTTCTTCATTCAGTTCAGCAGTATAGTCAGTTACCAGAAACCTGCACTTCTCAGAGTCTTTTCCATGAATTCCTTGAAGATGAAACCCTTTTATAGGAACATTTTTGCAAAAGCATCAGGGTACACCCAGAACTGTCTGTAAATGACAAAAGACTTAAAAATGACCACGGTTAAAGATTTGATGAAAGTTGATAATAATGCAATTGACAAGGAAATTTAGTTATTTCTGAGATATACATTTTAAGGTAATAACTAGAATTATGACTTATAACATTATACCAGAACGTATAAGAGTTTTAGAAATTTCGTGTAATGTCTGAAACATTTATATTAACATATTTCCATACAAATAACCCAAAGAGAGTTTAGCATTAGTTGTTTTTTTTTTTATACTGCAGGTTCTTATTAGTCATCAATTTTATACACATCAGTGTATACATGTCAATCCCAATCGCCCAATTCAGCACACCACCATCCCCACCCCACCGCGGTTTTCCCCCCAGGGTGTCCATACGTTTGTTCTCTACATCTGTGTCTCAACTTCTGCCCTGCAAACCGGTTCATCTGTACCATTTTTCTAGGTTCCACATACATGCGTTAATATACGATATTTGTTTTTCTCTTTCTGACTTACTTCACTCTGTATGACAGTCTTTAGATCCATCCACATCTCAACAAATGACTCAATTTCGATCCTTCTTATGGCTGAGTAATATTCCATTGTATATATGTACCACAACTTCTTTATCCATTCGTCTGTTGATGGGCATTTAAGTTGCCTCCATGACCTGGCTGTTGTAAATAGTGCTGCAATGAACACTGGGGTGCATGTGTCTTTTTGAATTCCGGTTTTCTCAGGGTATATGCCCAGTAGTGGGATTGCTGGATCATATGGTAATTCTATTTTTAGTTTTTTAAGGAACCCCCATAGGTTCCTTAAAAACCTATGTATCACTTATGAATATAGATGCAAAAATCCTCAACAAAATATTATCAAACCAAATCCAGCAATACATTAAAAGGATCATACGTCATGATCAAGTGGAATTTATCCCAGGGATGCAAGGATTTTTCAGTATCAATGTGATGCACCACATTAACAAACTGAAGAATAAAAACCATATGATCAGCTCAGTAGTTGCAGAAAAAGCTTTTGACAAAATTCAACATCCACTAATGATTTAAAAAACTCTCCAGAAAGTGGGCATAGAGGGAACATACCTCAACATAATAAAGGCCATATATGACAAACCCACAGCTAACATCCTTTACTCAAAGGTGAAAAACTGAAAGCATTTCCTCTAAGATCAGGAACGAGACAAGAATGCCCACTCTTGCCACTTTTATTCAGCATAGTTTTGGAAGTCCTAGCCACAGCAATCAGAGAAGAGAAAGAAACAGAAAGAATCCAAATTGGAAAGGAAGAAGTGAAACTGTCACTATTTGCAGATGGCATGATACTATACATAGAAAATCCTAAAGATGCCACCAGAAGACTACTAGAGCTCATCAATGAATTTGGTAAAGTTGCAGGATACAAGATTCTGTTGCATTTTTATACACTAAGAGTGAACTACCAGAAAGAGAAATTAAGGAAACAGTCCCATTTACCACCTCATCAAAAAGAATAAAATACCTAGGAATAAACCTACCTAAGGAGGTAAAAGACCTGTTCTTAGAAAACTATAAGACACTGAAGAAAGAAACTGAATATGACACAAACATATGGAAAGATATACTGTGTTCTTGGATTGGAAGAATCAATATTGTTAAGATGACCATACTGCCCAAGGCAATCTACAGAGTCAATGCAATCCCTAACAATGTAATCACTAACAAAATACCAAAGGCATTTTTCTAGAACAAATAATTTTAAAATTTGTATGGAAACACAAAGGACCCTAAATAGCCAAAATCATGTTGAGAAAGAAGAACAGAGCTGGAGGAATCATGCTCCCGGACTTCAGACTATGTTACAAAGCTACAGTCATCAAAATAGTGTGGTGCTGACACAAAAACAGACACATAGATCATTGGAACAGGATAGAGAGTCCAGAAGTAAACCCACCCACTTATGGTCAATAAATCTATTACAAGGAGGCAAGAATATACAATGGAGAAAAGACAGTCTCTTCAGTAGCCAGTCCTGGGAAAACTAGACAGCTACATGTAAAAGAATGAAATTAGAACATTCTCTAACACTGTATGCAAAAATAAACTCAAAATGGATTAAAAATCTAAATGTAAGATCAGATACCATAAAACACGTAGAGGAAAATGTAGGCCGAACACTCTTTAATATAAATCATAGGAATATTTTTTGGATCCATCTCCTAAAACAAAGGAAATAAAAGCAAAAATTAACAAATGGGACCTAATTAAACTTATGAGCTTTTGCACAGCAAAGGAAATTATCAACAGATCAAAAAGACAGCCCACTGAATGGCAGAAAATATTTGGAAATGTATGACCAACAAGGGGTTAATATCCAACATATATATAAACAGCTTATATAACCCAACATCAAAAAAACAAACAGCCGAATTAAAAAATGGGCAGAAGAACTGAAGAGACATTTCTCTAAAGAGGTTGCTGATGGCCAACAGGCACTTGAGAAGATGCTCAACATTGCTAATCATCAGGGAAATGCCAATCAAAACCACAGTAAGATATCACCTCACACCTGTCAGGTACTATATCAAAAAGATGATATCATCACAAAGAACACAAATAACGAATGTTGGCGAGGATGTGGAAAAAAGGGAACCCTCATACACTGTTAGTGGGAATGTAAATTGGTGCAGCCACTGTGGAAAACAGTATGAAATTTTCTCAAAAAACTAAAAATGGAATTACCATATGACCCAGCAGTTCCACTTCTGGATATATATCTGAAAAAAACAAAAACACTAATTCTAAAAGATGCATGCAGCCCAGTGTTCATAGCAGCATTCCAATAGCGAAGATATGGAAGCAACCTAAGTCCATCAACAGATGAATGGATAAAGAAGATGTAGTATATATATACAATGAAATACAACTCAGCCATAAAAAATAATGAAATTTTGCCATTTGCAGCAACATGGATGGACTTGAAGGGCGTTATGCTAAATGAAATAAGTGAGACAGAGAAAGACAAATACTGTATCTCTTATATGTGGACTCTAAAAAATACAACAAACTAGTGAATATAACAAAAAAGAAGCAGACTCACAGATACAGAGAACAAACTAGTAGTTACTAGTGGGGAGGGAGGAAGGGGCAATATAGGGGTAGGGCAGTAAGAGGTACAAACTATTAGGTATAAAATAAGCTACAAGGATATATTGTACAATGTGGGGAATATAACCAATATTTTTTAATAACTGTAAATGGAGTTTAACCTTTAAAAATTGTGAATCACTATATTGTATACCTATAATTTATATAATAGTGTACATCAACTATACTTCAATTAAAATTTTTTTTAATTAAAAGCACCTGTAAATTTAATTTTATTGCTTTTGTGGACTTATTGGATTTAAGTTGTATATTTGTTTTAGTTTTGAGTTTTTTCTAAGAACTCTAACAAAAATATAACTTGTTTTGTATTTTTACATATTTAATTGTAATTAAAATATTCTTCAGGCAGATAAGAATAGTTTACTTTTAAAAGGGTATGTATAGAAGTTGAGTTTGAGAAAGTCTGATCTATACCTAAATTTTTTATTTAGATCTGTATTTTCATGGAGGTGAGTTTTCAATCAGGATTTTTTTCTCCTTCATTCCTTATCAAAAATATGAATAGGTTAGGGCTTCCCTGGTGGCGCAGTGGTTGAGAGTCTGCCTGCCGATGCAGGGGACATGGGTTCGTGCCCCGGTCTGGGAAGATCCCACGTGCCGCGGAGCGGCTGGGCCCGTGAGCCATGGCCGCTGAGCCTGCGCGTCCGGAGCCTGTGCTCCGCTGCGGGAGAGGCCACTACAGTGAGAGGCCCGCGTACCGCTAAAAAAAAAAAAAAAAAGATTACCCTCTCTTTTCTAAGAACATTCATCTCTTATTATTTCTCATATCTGGAGACCTATATACCCTGCCCATTTCCTCTTTCTGATGACATCATGTAGGCCAAGTGGCTAGGATGATGCCCAATGTGTAGTAGGAACTAAGTAAGTTGTAACCCTTGTTTTATGTCAGTATAAACTTAGATACTTATGGGAATCAAATGGAAAAGCAAAAGTAAATGAGGTAATTAACATTTATAAAATGTTGGAGTTTCCCAAGTGGAAAGATCCATAGAAGTCAGGAGTTCTAGCCTTTTTATGGGGCATCTCCCTATGAAACCTCTCCCATAGGAGTCTTTCCAGACATGTCCACACTTAGTGGCAGAAAATTCATCTCGTATGACCATTCCAGGGCCACACATTTCTGATTGCCTGGCATTTTTCACCATGTTGATTAGAGACGTGATTCCCAGAAAAGTTTATCAGTTGGCCCTGAGAGAATATAGTCTTCCTGTGTCAGCTCTTCAAATATTTGAGGAGAGAAACCATTACAACTTAAGCCGAGTGCACTGAAACATCTCTCAGACTGGAGGGTTTAAAGTCTCAGGTCATAATAGAGGTATTATCCAGAAATGGACATGCTGTTCAAAATATGGTCTGACCACATTAGAATAAAAAGGTTCACATGTTCTGTGTACATTTTTCTTAACACAACTTGAGATTGCACTTACATCCTGGGCATTCTAATTCTTTTTGTATCAGGAAATAAAGAAGGTGATTTTTTTTTAAATAGCTTCCTTTATTAAATGTTTGATTTAAATGTCTTTATCTTAATTGATTGTTGCATAGAATGAACTATTGCTCTGAGCATTTTATTTCCCCTGTTGCTTAATCATGGAATACACTGCGGCTCTTGGCAAGAATGAGAATATCGGTCTTCTTGATTCTGTTGCTGTCTGATTCCATTGCTGTGTCATCTTGAGCATCGCCAGCCCTCAGGTATAGCAGTCCTCTCCTTTGTCACCAGGTCATCCCGCTCTTCCTACATGGATGAGGACTGTGACTCTCTGGCCCTCTGTGATCCCATGCAGAGGATAAACTGTGACATTGACAGCCTGCCCGAGAGCTGCTTCGACAGTGGCTTGTCTACCCTGAGAGATTCCAATGAGTATGACTCGGAGGTGGAGTATAAGCACCAGAGGGGATTCCAGAGGTCACACGGCACACAGGAGAGCTCTGGGGGTGATGCTTCAGACACAGACGTAAGCCCCAAAGTCATTTCTCTCCTAGGCCTGATCTTCCATAGAAATACGTATCTCACCCTGTTTGACCTTTATCTGTCATGGGCATTGTTTTAAAGGTTATACACGTGAAACATAGTTGGGAGAATGTTTCTCCCTATCAAGTTAGGGAAAACTCTCACAGATTTCCTTTTGCAGCCACTCTGTTTCATAATAGCATTGACTGTTGATTCAGCAGCATATGTTTCTTCTTTTTATTTCATGATGTATATGTGTAATGAAAGACTTTGGTTTTTAATGGCTGACTTTAAAAAAACAAAACAAAACAGGTTCCTGATATAAGGGATGAAGAGACGTATGGCTCAGAAGGCGTGGCTTCCATCCTGGACTGGAAGCCGCAGGAGTCTGCTAGTGAAGGAAGTGTCATCAGCTCCTTGAGAAAGCCCATCTCAGCACTTACACCACAGGTACGCGGTTTCAGAGACACTTTTATTCATGAACACTGTTCATCTTCATGCCATATAACTTAGTAGGAGAAAGCTGGCACTACCTTTGTCACTCACTGTGGCTTCCTTCCCCTAGACAGACATGGTGGATGATAACCATAAATCTTCCAGCTCACAGAAGGCTTACAAGATTGTGCTGGCTGGGGACGCTGCAGTAGGAAAGTCAAGTTTGCTCATGAGACTTTGCAAGAATGAATTTCGAGGAAACACAAGTGCCACTCTGGGTACGGTTCCTTTTTCAGTGGATCATGGGAAAATGACCTTCTTTAGGCTGATTCTATTTTCGTTAGGGATTATATACAGACACACAGATCTCTCTCTTTCTCTCTGTGTAATATGTATATAGGTAGAGGTGTGTGTGTGTGTGTGTGCACACGCACTTGCACACACACGTGTCCTTCTCTATAGACTAGCCCTCTGTTTTGGCTAAGGCCTAAATTTGGGAGAGGAAGACTAGCAAAGGACTGAGGTATCTGCTTACCCAGTGAGATCAACCAAAGTTTAGAGCCAGAGATGACAGATTCATTTATTCAGCAAGCATATCCTGCATCCTGCTGTGAGCCACATACTGTTGTAGGCACTACAGATACACAATAAACAAAGTCGACTAAATCCCAGCCCACAATGAGGGAAATGGATGAAAAACACATTTTAAAAAATGAGGTTTGGGAGAGGTGCACTTTTACACAGGGTGCCCAGGGAAAGCCTTTTTGATCAGGTGTCGTTTGATGTTGATAAAGTGAGCTTACCGATAGCCAGTTTGTCATTAAGGTCAAAATCATAGCCGGGTGTATGTTCCCTCCCCTCCTTCACAACGGAATACATGAGTAATACCTCTCAGAACAAGGAAAAAATAGTGTCCTCATTTCCCAAATTTGCATAGTAATCAGTAAAAGGAATTGAAAGAAGATATGCAAATTATCATTTACTTTTCTTCCTTATCTAAAGAGTTATTTTGATAACCAGAAACCTTAGAACAGATTACCTTCTTCACAATGGATGTCTTTCTAAATTTATGGTTCTCTGTTACACCTTTCAAGACAACAAAGCTGAAGGTTCACTTCAATTTGACTCATGAGAAGCCTACAATATTTGGTTCGGTTCCTAGAGAGCCTGGCATATATATACATCGTATACACGTACTTATATATATATATACATCACACATGTATATACCTGTATATATACATATGCATAGGCACATTTATGTGCATGCACACACACAGATATAACTGAGTCCATCTAATTATGTGGACACATAAAACACAGATCTTCCTGTTGTCCATAGATTAGACCCTTCCCCAAGTCAGCCAGCCTGCAGTAAGCATCTGCACGCACTTGTGTGTCTGACTTATAATTAGCACGTAAAGGTCACTGTCCTTGAAGGCCAGGTTCATTCCTCTCTGTCTTGCTGAACTTTGGCTTATTGGCTTTTGTCTCATCCTAAAGAGGGCTTGAAAGTAAAAACCAATGGAATTATTTACATCGTGTTCTCCATGTTCTCCTATATTCCTTTTCAGGAGTTGATTTTCAAATGAAAACTCTCATTGTAGACGGAGAGCGAACAGTACTGCAGCTCTGGGATACCGCTGGCCAGGAGAGGCAAGTGCTTTCCATAATACTTTGGATTCTGCTGAGTTGCACAGACAAGCCTTGTAGGATACTTGGTGGGTTTTGTACTCATATAATTCTGATAGAGCACGTTAGAATTTCAAGAATGCTTGTTTTTTCCCACATCCTTTCCTCCTTTGCTGATCCATCAGTCGTGTGAAGAGGATCTTTAAGCTTCCTTTGAATTGGTGAGCCACTGATAAAAAGAGAGTGCCCTATTCTAAGGAGAAATTTTCGGTGAGGCGGCATTCCTGAACGTGGCAACAGTGTGAGGAGCTGCATAGCTGGGGCACCACATAAGATGGAGAGGAGGACCTGTCAGATCCCCGGTTCAAGGGCAGGGACACAGACCATTGATAAATAGCAGACTCGCATCTGGCCACAGACAGTACCCTGTCTTTCTTTCACTGCTGATGGCCAGAGCATCAAGCATATGTTTTAATCATATCTAACTCTTAGGGAACAGACTGTATCCGATTGTGCACCAAACAAGCATGGGGGTACCTGCTGACCTCTGTAACCAGGCACCATTCAGGGTGTTCAGATTCAACGGTGAACAGGTGGACACAGACACCTGCCCACATGGTATTTTCTAGTAGCATTTGAAAAATATGTGTGGTTAACATAGCTATTTAAGATCCTGTAAAATACTGCACTCAGTTTAGGACAGATAGGGTGAGGTGTTGCTCTTCCCCTGGTGAGCCCCCAACACCCTGTGTGTGCCCTGTGGTGTTCCACATGGTTAGTTCTTCTACCACCCACCCACAATATTCCCTACCCACCAGCCAAAAAATAATTTTTCTCCGACGTGCCTCTCCTTCCATCCTTCACACACACCCTTCTATGTCCCACAGCTGGGTTCTGGTAGCGTGTTGCTGAGGCTGAAATTTTTAGAAATTATGATCTCAACCTTGTCCTGGCTATGCTCTGGGGTATGTAGACTTCTTGGGATTATTTGGTGGAGAAAATAATTGGCTTTTCTAAATCACTAGCCCAGATTCTTATCCTGTTACCTTTCACCAGGTCATTCTAGGCCTCGGGGATGACTATTTCACAGTAATAGGTTGCCATTAGATTCTTCTCAATTGGGGCTTGTTTTAAAAGGTGAGGGGAAAAAGTGAGCATAAAGGAGATGAAGTATGAGGCAGCACCAAACTGACTGACTGATTAGAACCATTACGTGCTATTCTCTTTTCCAGATTCAGAAGTATTGCCAAGTCTTATTTCAGAAGAGCAGATGGTGTTTTGCTGCTGTATGACGTTACGTGTGAGAAAAGCTTTCTTAATGTACGAGAATGGGTAGATATGATTGAGGTAAGAATTCAAAACAGAGAACCAAAAAATTACATAGGAGACCTACAGGCTGTCTCGGGAAATGCTGTTTCTCTTCTTTGTCGAAACGAACTCAATTACAAACCCCTGATCCAGGCTCTCAGGAAGAACTGGATGTGAGAAGTGGGGTTCCCAATGGCACTTGGCAGTACTGGCCTCCTCCTCAGTAGCTGGGCAAGTTCCCACAGAGCTAAGGACACTACTAAAGTGAGCTTCTGGGGCGGGGAAGGGGGGGAAACTCCTGGGTTTTCTTTTTTTTTTTTTTTGCGGTAAGCGGGCCTCTCACTGCTGTGGAGCACAGGCTCCGGACGCGCAGGCTCAGCGGCCATGGCTCACGGGCCCAGCTGCTCCGCGGCACGTGGGATCTTCCCGGACCGGACCGTGTCCCCTGCATTGGCAGGCGGACTCTCAACCACTGCGCCACCAGGGAAGCCCTGTCTTCATTTTTAAAGGATGGTTTTTCTGACTCTATAATTATTTGCTGACTTTGTTATACAGCAGAAACTAACACAACATTGTAAAGCAATTATACTCCAATAAAGATGTTAAAAAAAAAAAAAGAATCCATACCTAAACACATCATGGTTGAATTGCTAAAAGTCAAAACAAAGAGAAAATGTTGAAAGCAAGAGAAAAATCACTCATTGTGTACAGAGGAACCACAATACAATAATGACATCAGAAACGAGTCCAAAAGGCAGTGAAGTGGCATAATTTCATTGTTTTTGAGGCTCATTTCTTGATGCTGTATCAGGTGTGGTACCAAAGTGGATGAGCACCTGGATGTTTTTAGGCACCACAAAGAGTCATTTCTCAGTGAGGGCTGCTGCTTCGCTTGTTTAGGAGCTATAAACCTGTTTTTCTAGTCAGGTTGTCTTCTATTCTCATAGCCTGCTCAGGGGGATGTGTCCTTACTGACCCCTTCGTTTTACAGATAGGGAAATGGAGGCAGAAACAGGAAGAGACTGCCTGATTTCATGCAGCCGGCGAGTGGCCAGGTGGTGGGAGGGACAGAGTCTCAAACTTAACTCTGCCTCTCACATCTTACATTCTGCCAGCCAGCTCCTCTATGAATGCCGGGACAGACAGTGCAACAGTATGCATATGCTGATTTTGGGAGCATTATCCTGAGAATCTGTTAATTTGAGTGACTGCTCCTTGACTCTTCACAGGAAAAATGTTGACATTTAGGGCCTTCTGATTTTGCTTTTGTTGTAAGCCAGATAGCAGCAAGTGTGGAACTCTGAGACTCCATTTTTGTCCCATTATAGCTGAGGGAATATTTGTGTGTTTTGTACCTGTGATAATGAAGTTGACTTGTAATCACCACTGTTTGGAGTGAAAATTATAGAAAATTATGTGGGCACTACAGCCAAATGTAATTCTGGGGTCGCGCCTCTTGAGTTTGGTATTAGTTTGTATAGTGGCAAGGGTGATAGAGTCAGTTTGGACCACCCCTGGCCCTTACAACGTCTTATTTAACCTCTCTGAATTTCAGTGTTCTGATCTGGAAATGGGAAGGTTTGGCTCCTTTTAGAGATATTTTGAGGTTTAAAGATATTGTCTGTACATCATGTGGCCTATAAGGGGCATTCAGAAAGGGTAGCTGTTGTCAACATCAACCTCATAACTTGTCCAGTGTTTCATGTATGCACAATTTCTTTCTTTTCTTCATGGTAGGATGCAGCCCATAACAGCATTCCTATCATGTTGGTAGGAAACAAGGCTGATCTTCGTGATGCTGCTGAAGCGGAAGGACAAAAATGTGTCCCAGGGTACTTTGGAGAAAAACTGGCCATGGTAAGAGTAAGAGTGGGTCCAAATTGGGAGGGACCTTTCACTTCTGTCTACATTTGCTGAAGAGGCTGTTTGACAAACTCCACTCTGTTTGATAAGTCTTCTGTCCCTATACAGGCAGAACTCCCAGTGGCCCCTATCCGTCCCATGAATGTAAATAATTACACCAAGAGTTAAATCCCTTGTGGAGGTAAAACAATCACATGATCATTTTCCCCCACTGAGTACCAGTGACAAAGAGGATGCAAAATTATCGTGTTCCTGGAATTCTTCTCTAGTCCTGGAACCTAGGTAGAGGAAGAAGAATGGGTGTCCTGTTTTGAAAAGATGGGTTTGGTTCCAGAGGGTCCCTGTGCCAAGGGGCAGCAGATGGTGCAGTGTGTCACCTGGGTAAAGGGGTGAAGAGAATTGGAAGACTCATTCTTTCCTCTAAGATTTGTAGTCAGTTGGAATAGTATAAAATTATTTTTGGCTATGCATTTGTACAAAGGATGGACCTCATTTCTGTCCAGATTATTATTGTGGGCAGTGTTTATTCTCTCATTATTATCATTGTGTCAGAATGCTATGTGGCCCTCTTATGACTTGTCTTACCCAAATAAGGAACCAGATGCTCCTTAGGTCAAATATGAAGTTCTTATCATAACAATCCGATCTGACATTGCCATCATTGTTGTCTGTCATCAGCATGAAAGGACTGCTCCATAACATATACATGTGAACTTTAAAAAGAAGTTTCCATTCCACTATTCTAAGTTGGAATTGTTCCTTTTTTTAAATTTTAGAGCTGTGAGCCAAATATGATAAACATCAAAACTAGGCAGTGAAATACAGAAGAGATCCATTCAACACATATTTAATTGTATCCACCATGTGAAAAAGCACTTCATTGTGAGCTGAGCAAAGGGTAGAGAACAAAGGAAACCGTCCTTGTCCTCACGTAGTTTACTGTCTGGGGGAGACAGATGTTAAACCCACGAAATCCACATATTCCCCTAGAGAGCTCATAATTCCTGGCCACAAGCCAATTTTATTCCCTCCCCCGCAGTTTCTCAGATCTCCCAAGGTTTGCTTATTTATTATGCATCTCACGTCCTCCACCCTCCTGCATCCTCAAAGGCCATCTCTATTTCACCCTATAACATCCTGGCTATGACATTCAGCAGCAGCACTACCCATTTCTACTAGAAATACATTCATTTGGGGTATTTTTTAGATCTTCTATGGATTTGGGGGCTCATGGGTAAAGGTTTCACGGTAGTCTTTCCCCATTGTTTGGTTCTTCCTTCTCTCCCTGCTCCGGAGCACCCATCACATCTTGCCCATATCCCACACAGGACCGTGTTGCCCACACCCAGCCCCACAGCGCACATAATTCTCCTTTCCTAAAGGAAACTGTCTCCAGCTGTTAGACAAAGACACCCAAAAATAACCTCATCATTTACATCTGTGGCAAGTGCTATGCTGGAAAAATACATGCCTCAAGAGGTTTTACAGTAGGAAAACCTAATACCAACTTTTCAGAGTTAGAAAACAATCTTAACTTCAAGGGAGGATTACCTAAAAATCTAGAAGGTAGGTAAAAGTCAGCCTGGGGAAAGGGTTACTAGGGATATAGGATAACCTAGGTAGTGGTAACAGCAGGTGAAAAGGTCCTGAGGTGGGAGGGAATTTGGAGTGTTGGGGAAATAGAGGGACGGCCAGGGTAACATGAGCACTGTGAGTGAGGGAGAGTGGTGGCAGGTAAAACTGGGAGGTTGGCTGGGGCCACGTACAAGCTAGGCCTTGTCGGCCAGGTAAGCATTCCAACATTGCTTGAGAGGGATGGGAAGCATCGAAAGGTCTGAAGCAGGAGAGTGATATGATCAGTGATTGTATGTATAACCACTGGGAGGTTAAGTAATAGACTAGAAAATGTCCATTGGTTTTAGCAACACAGAGGCTGCTGAATCTTGATAGGAAAAGATGATAGATTGAAGGGGGGGCGGGATGTGTGTTAGCTGCCAGCCAAAAGGAGACATATACTTGATGGACATTTAATTCCTAAGTGGTTACCTTAAGCTATCATTTTTCTCTCTCTCAAATTATTTGATAGAGAACATTTGGTAGTATGTGTGACACTTGGATATAAGAGCCTTAAACCATGAAATTTTGTATTGTGGGATTTTTTTTTTTTTGGATGCAAAATAAAAATCCTCTGACTAGGAACTGTTCCTGGAATAAGTAGACTCAAACCTATTTTTTTTTTAAAGTCTTGAAACTCAATCCAATTTCTTAACTATTAGTTTTAGCATACTCAACAGGGCAATATTTTTATTTTAGTTTATTGGTTTTAAAAGCGAACATTCCAGGAAACCTAATCAAAGCCTTCATTTAATGGTATGTATATGTTTTTTACAGACCTATGGGGCATTATTTTGTGAAACAAGCGCCAAAGATGGTTCCAATATAGTGGAAGCTGTTCTCCACCTTACTCGGTAAAGTTTTGCCTTATATTTGGAAAACTGGATGTAGGATTGAATTTTCACTTAGCTGTTGTATGTGTCAAATTTCTTGACCATAATGTGAATCTACATGGGAAAACACTGTCTTGTCTTTCAGTAGTGGTTGGAGAAACAAACACAGTTTTTATAAAAAACTGGTATGCTGCTTGTTCACTGTGAACATTGGCAAAATACCTCTACTGCTAAACAAAGCAGGTGCATCTGAGGTGTCACTGACATTTCTGCAAAATGTCCCCACAAAGCTAATAGTTGACGTGTGTGAATCACTTCTAGGAACCAGATTTTAAACACAAGAGACTATTATGAATATAACTATCTATTATATTATGACATTTTCCAAGGTAAAGGAAAAAGAACTCAACAAAACAAATTGTATATCATGCCAGTTGGAAGCACTTTGTTTACATTATTACCCAGGTAATTATTAAGCTAAGGCAATGGTGTTAATAATAAATAACATTTTGGGATGTGGATTAGAATGAAAATTGCATCATTGAGGAACTTGGTTTTAACTGTATTTTAATCCTTGCAGTATTCTTAGGAAATAACAATGTTTTATGCTGGATTTACTTCTTCTGCCTAGTTTTCTGCCACAGATGAAAAAATGATTCTTTGCTGATCTAAAGGGATTCAATACGCCCCCAAAAAAGAAAGAAGAAATATTTTAAGAATGCGCATTAACAAAATCCAGCCAATGATCCTTAATTGCTGACAAAGCAAAAACATAATTTTAGGCATGTAGAGATTTGTGAGATCATTTGTGAGATTCTGATTTTATAAGAATCTTAACTTTAGTACAGTAAGGGGCTCCATGCTACCTTAGCTTCAGGCAGGGAGTGCTGAATTGCTGCCTGGGCTGAGCAGGAAAGGATGCTGCAGGCCAGGCCCTCTGCATGGCTGCTGGCTTCTGCCCAGCACGTTGGAGGACTGTAGTGTCAGGAGGCTCAAAGTCCAACCTTAAATCTACCCCGAACAGCTGTGGAGTCTTGACTAAGTCCCTGTCTTCTTTTAGGCATCTCTAATCTGTACAATGAGGGAAGGGGCTAAAGAAAATGATCCCTAAGGCCCCTTCTAGTTCTGACAGTCTATGATTCCATATATAATAATAGCCTGGACTCTACTGAATAACATAATCACTATTTAACGCAGAATTGTCTTGTGGGGTCATATTACAGTTAAATGACTCCAAATTGCCCCGGTCACACCCAGAGTGCAGAATCGATCCTCTTTATTATATAATAAAGATAGGAGAGCCGACGACGGCCTTTTCCCCTGGTGCTCCTGCTGGCATGTTGGGCCAGCCCAGCAGCCTCCCTGTTTACAGTGTAGCTTCTTTACTTAAAACACCTGTGTGGGGCTTCCCTGGTGGCGCAGTGGTTGAGAGTACGCCTGCCGATGCAGGGGACACGGGTTTGTGCCCCGGTCCGGGAAGATCCCACATGCCGCGGAGCAGCTGGGCCCGTGAGCCATGGCCGCTGAGCCTGCGGGTCTGGAGCCTGTGCTCCGCAATGGGAGAGGCCACAGCAGTGAGAGGCCCGCGTACCGCAAAAAAAAAAAAAAAACCTGTGTGCAGGAGCATTCTGATAACAAGGTCACTTCTTGTGAATCACTTATCAAGGAGCTTTTTAAATTGTTGCTATTGTATTATGGGCTGGTTTGAGGCCTCTAGGTTAGTTATGTTAACAATGTGTTAAACAGGAAAATTAAAAATAAACCAAACATGTAAAGACTTTAATTTGCTTTATACTGTGTCATCAGATTGCTTATCAAAATACCCAAGTCTTAAATAAAAATGGTATCATTTCCACAAGTGAAATTACCACTTTAAAAAGTTTTACAGCTTTCAGAATGTTATGTGTAATAGTAACTCCCATTCAAACCATGTTATGTCATAAAACTTGAACTAGAACAGTTTATGGGTTTGCACTGTCTGAAACAGTATTTGTTTTTGAAGGAAGGCCATAAATGTTTGGTTAACAACCTGAACTCCTCTACTTTTTCTTGGAAAACCCTGTCTATCCCAGGAAAAGTTTCTCCTAGAAATGCAGTTTCCCTGTAGGGCTGATAGACATTCATTCCAACCATTGTCCACTGGTAAGTAAATCTGCCATCACTAGAGCCACAGGCTTTAAACATTTTTCAATAGATTCAAGTACAACAGGCATTAAACTGGTCAATGGCCTAAAATTTGAGAAAAACACAAAAAGCTCGGGCTGATGTATCAGTTCAGCGCCATTGCTGAGCCCATTGGGGATAAATCTGTCCATAAGATTTGAGTCATTTAAAATGCAGTTGTTAAGTATACGGCAGTTTGGGGTGAGGTAATTTAATTTTCCCAGCCTTAAACCTGTTTTAGATGTTTGGAATTATACCTTCCTGATTTCCTTAAAGTGGGAGATGCTTGCATCTTTGGTAGATTAAAGAAACTGAAGGCCAGGTGAACAATATGGGTACCTATCTTTTCTCCCTTAATATTTGCTTTCAGTGTTCAGTAATGTCTGCATTATTATCATTTCTGCTCAGTATGAAAGCCCTGTAGAGATATCAGGTTATGTAAGATAGGCTGTGCAATTTAACATTAGAGAAAAAAAGAAAACAAAATACATGACCAGGCAACCATATGATATGTAACTTACAGAGGCCTTTTAGACTTTCCAGAAGGGAGAGATGTGAGTTGTCTTGTGAAGATGCTATGTTTACTAAACCCATTGTACAGATAAAAAAATTGAAAATTAGAATGCTTCATCAGCTTGCTCAAAGTGACACAGTACTAAATGGCAAAATTGGGACTTTTCACTACTCTGAATCTCTGGCTTGCCTTTTAAATGTTGGTAATCTCAGGATTCTATTCTGCACTCTCTTCCTCTTACTCTTTCTCTCTCTGCCTAATGTCTTCCACCACCATGGTTTCTAGAACTATGTCTAGAAGGTGACTTCTAATTTCTGTATTTTTAACTCCCATCTGTTTTTTAAATTCCACAACTATATTCCCACCCACCAACAAATGAAAATTCCATAGGCATGACTGATCCAACATAGCTAAACCCTAACGTGCTCATTTTTCTTTAAAATTGTTCCTTATTCTATACTCCGGTTCTCAGGAAACTACTAACATTATAATTCAAAAAGAGTAACCTAGAGTCAGTCTTCACTCCTTCCTCCTTCTTCATCATCTGCCTCTAGTGGGTTCGGGGGCCCTACTGATTCAGTGACCTCTCTGCAATCTTCCTTCAATCCCTCCCCCGCCGCACCCTGCTCTGCTTCAGGCTTCAAGATTTCCTACCCCGTTTAGTGCAGGAGGGACCTAAGTTTCTGCCTCAGAGTTTCTCCAGCATCAGTTCATCCTCCACCCTGTAATCAGGGTAATCTCTGTAAATAAAAATCCAATTAAGACCTTCTTGCTTGCACCCCTACCTACAGCATAGAGTCCAGCCTCCTTAGGAAGTGGCTAATGGTCCCCCAGAGCCCAGTTCACCTACCTTTCTATTTGCATCTCTTATCTTACTTCCCAAATGAATGATAATCTATGGACACAGCAAACTTTGCTTCCGGTCAAAGCCAAGTTCTTTTATGCCTCTTTGCCTCTATACATGCTATTCCCTGCACCTGGAATCTCTCTTCCTCATTAAATGACAGTGAATTCCTATCCCACCAAGAGGTCGGCTCCACTGTGCTTGTGTGTTAGCGGCTCTCGGGGACCTGGTAATGATTTATTTAGAAGACATCTGGCTTTCTCTCAAAGCTCACTAGTTGAGAGGGACTTCCCTGGTAGTCCAGTGGTTAATACTCCATATTCCCAATGCAGGGGGCCCAGGTTCGATCCCTGGTCAGGGAACTAGATCCCGCATGCCACAACTAAAGATCCTGCATGCTGCAACTAAAAACATCCCGCATGCTGCAACTAAAGATACCCTACGCCACAAGGAAGATCCCATGTGCCACAACTAAGACCCGGCACAGCCAAATTAAAAAAAAAAAAAAAAAATTTACAATTAAAAAGCTCACTAGTTGAGGATCCCAGAGTTTGACATAAATCGGACATTTGTTGAATGACCAAATGGTCAAGATTTTGCATTTGGAAGTTGTACTAGTTTTCTATTGTCACTGTAACAGATTCCTACTAGCCTAGTGCTTTAAGCAATAAAAATAATAGTTCTGGAGGTCACAAGTCTGAACCAAGTCTTACAGGGTGTTATGGGGTTGAACTGTGTATCCTCCTTCTTTTCCTGAGTCTTTATTTCTTATCTGTGAAGGGAAGACATTGATGCTCACCTGTTACCTGTCAGCATGTGTGTGTGTGTATTAAATAAGGACTACGTGAAAACATGTAACATAGCATTTATTAACTGGTCTCCAGCAAGAACCAGTTTCCCTTTTGTTTCCTACTCACAGTGCAGTGGTTTTCAAAGGTTAACACATATCAGCTCCTTTTGGGGCTGTGCTGACCAGTTTAGTAGCCACTAGCCACCTGAAGTGTGACTAATCCAAGCTGAGATGTGCTGGATGTATATTAAATAAATACTGGGTTTTGAAGACAGTATAAAAATTGTATTCAGACTATACTACAAAGCTACAGTAATCAAGACAGTATGGTACTGGCACAAAAACAGAAATACAGATCAATGGAACAGGATAGAAAGCCCAGAGATAAACCCATGCACATATGGTCACCTTATCTTTGATAAAGGAGGCAGGAATGTACAGTGGAGAAAGGACAGCCTCTTCAATAAGTGGTGCTGGGAAAACTGGACAGGTACATCTAAAACTATGAGATTAGATCACTCCCTAACACCATACACAAAAATAAGCTCAAAATGGATTAAAGACCTAAATGTAAGGCCAGAAACTATCAAACTCTTAGAGGAAAACATAGGCAGGACACTCTGACATAAATCACAGCAAGATCCTTTTTGACCCACCTCCTAGAGAAATGGAAATAGAAACAAAAATAAAGAAATGGGACCTAATGAAACTTCAAAGCTTTTGCACAGCAAAGGAAGCCATAAACAAGACCAAAAGACAACCCTCAGAATGGGAGAAAATATTTGCAAATGAAGCAACTGACAAAGGATTAACCTCCAAAATTTATAAGCAGCTCATGCAGCTTAATAACAAAAAAGCAAACAACCCAATCCAAAAATAGGCAGAAGACCTAAATAGACATTTCTCCAAAGAAGATATACAGACTGCCAACAAACACATGAAAGAATGCTCAACATCACTAATCATTAGAGAAATGCAAATCAAAACTACAATGAGATATCATCTCACACCAGTCAGAATGGCCATCATCAAAAAATCTAGAAACAATAAATGCTGGAGAGGGTGTGGAGAAAAGGGAACCCTCTTGCACTGTTGGTGGGAATGTTAATTGGTACAGCCACTGTGGAGAACAGTATGGAGGTTCCTTAAAAAACTAAAAATAGAACTACCATATGACCCAGCAATCCCACTACTGGGCATATACCCTGAGAAAACCATAATTCAAAAAGAGTCATGTACCAAAATGTTCATTGCAGCTCTATTTACAATAGCCCGGAGATGGAAACAACCTAAGTGTCCATCATCAGATGAATGGATAACGAAGATGTGGCACATATATACAATGGAATATTACTCAGCCATAAAAAGAAACGAAATTGAGCTATTTGTAATGAGGTGGATAGACCTAGAGTCTGTCATACAGAGTGAAGTAAGTCAGAAAGAGAGAGACAAATACCGTATGCTAACACATATATATGGAATTTAAGAAAAAAAAAATGTCATGAAGAACCTAGGGGTAAAACACGAATAAAGACACAGACCTACTAGAGAATGGACTTGAGGATATGGGGAGGGGGAAGGGTAAGCTGTGACAAAGCGAGAGAGAGGCATGGACATATATATATACACTACCAAACGTAAGGTAGATAGCTAGTGGGAAGCAGCCGCATAGCACAGGGGGATCAGCTCGGTGCTTTGTGACCGCCTGGAGGGGTGGGATAGGGAGGGTGGGAGGGAGGGAGATGCAAGAGGGAAGAGATATGGGAACATATGTATATATATATAACTGATTCATTTTGTTGTAAAGCAGAAACTAACACACCACTGTAAAGCAATTATACTCCAATAAAGATGTTAAAAAAAATTGTAAAATAGCTCATTAATATTTTTATTGGTAACATGCTAAAATGATATTTTTGTAGTACTGAGTTAAACAATATATGTTAATAAAATTAATTTCACCTATTTCTCTTTACATTTTTTACTGTGGCTGCTAAAGAATTTTAAATTACATACGTGAATTACATTCTATTTCTATTGAACAGCGTTGCTGTGCTGGGAACATGCCAATTCCCAGGATCTACTGCTTTGTAACAAGCCACCCAAAATGTAGTCGCCTAGAACAAGACCACTTTTTATTTTCTGAAATTACCAGAAGTGACTGGATCTCACTGGAGGGTCCGTGACTGCTCTCCCTTGGGCGTCTCATGCATTTGCGGTCGTGGACACCGCTGTGGCTCAGTCTGATGTCTGCGGCCAGGGGGCTCCTCCCTGTGGCATCTCAGCCCCCTGGACCTCTCTGCTGCCCTCTCTCCAGTGAGGAACACTGGGCTTCGTAAATGGCAGCTCAAAATGGTCAGGCCTTATTAATGCCTGGCTTGGAAGTTTTAGCACCCCATTTCCTCGCCATTCTATTGGTCTGAGCAGTCAGAGCCGGTGCTGACCATGGGGGAGTGACACAAGCTTCACCACTTAATGGGGGGCACCAGACACTGACAGCAGAGGCGGAACTCTTGGGGGTTGTCTTGGGGACAAGCTGTCACACTCTCCTTACCCCCAGAGTTTGCCATTCAGCTTGTCTAAGGTGGGACTTCAGGATGTGTGTATTTCACAAGCATCCCCAGGGATAGGAGACTTCCCTAGGGGGCTTTCATAAGATCATGGAGATCTTTGGTCCAGTGTTGCCTCTAGCAGTTATTTCTAAAAGAAATTTAGGAAGAGGCAAAAGGAAGACATTTTTTCTGGATTTTAACCATCTGTTGTTATCTCCACGATCTTGTATAATTACAGAATGGTTATAAAGTCATCATTGCTTTTGTTAATGTTAAGCATTAGCTGGGGGTGGGAGCCAGGTTCCAGAGTCCTAAGGAGTGACCTGTGCGTGTGCAGACTATAAGCCATGCAAAACCACAGGAGAGAGCAAGAGTAGTCTGTGTGTGTGCATGTGAGTGTGTGCACATGTGTATACGCACCTGGGCATGTGTGTGTGTGTGTGCATGCATGAGTGTGTGGCCTGGTACTGAGAATGTGAGCACTGGAGCCCACCTGTGTGGCCACTTCTCCAGCTGTGTAACCTAAGGGAAATTTCTTAACTTTTTTTTTGCCTTTGTTTCCTCACATAAAATGGGGCACAACAAAATCATATAGTTGTTGTGAGGATTAAATAGGTCAACACCTACAAAGCACTTAGAACACTGTCTGGATGGCACACAGCAAGTGCTCAGCAGTGCTCTTTTATTTCTACAGAGTTGTTTATGGTTCAGTTTAATACCTCAGTAATCTCCTTTCTCTCTGTGTCTCTCTCTCTCCCTCCAGGGAAGTGAAAAAAAGAACTGATGAGGATGACAGCAAATCCATTACCAATCTGAGTGGGACCAGTTCCAAAAAGTCAACCCAGATGAAGAATTGTTGCAATGGTTAAATCCAAAAGATCCTTGGCCCACGAAGCCTTCATTCCCAGAGTACTGAATGTATGTGACTTCTTTGCTTCCTACATGGAGTGGTACGTCCTACAGGCCCTGTCGTATGGAGAGTTACAGTGTGGGAAATCTGAACTGTGTTCTCAGGTCCCTCCAGAACCTCGGCTCTTTTTTGCTATGTTTCAATGAGTGATTTGGGCCCCCTGGTTAAATATACCTGTCTTATCCTTACAAAGTCTTAACAGATAATGTGTAAATGTTTTTAAAGCGGTTAAATAAATAAAAAAAAAAGCACATGCTCAGATCAAAGCTATAGAAGAAATTCACGTAATTAGGTTCATGTGGTAAATAACCTATGACATTTACTTCCAATATTCAATACTAGAAAACTAATAATAGGGGGTTACCATCCTAGCTTTGCTGTAAACTAGCCTTGTGGTCTCAGACATGCTGCCAACCCACATTAGATCCATTTCCTCATCTGTAAACAAGCAGCTTAGCCTTTCAGGCCTCGGCCCTCTCAACTCGTAGCTGTTTAAGGAGTGAGAAGGAGAGCATGATGGCCCACAGTTAATAAGGACTCTGCTCGTCTGTACTTTTTAAATATTGGGGTATTAATTTTTCTCACTTCTTGTACAAGAACAGAATTTGAGAAAAATGGTAATATTTTAAGCTCCAGTGGAGACAGAAAAATCTATTTTTTATGTATAAAGAAAGAAAACAAAATAGTTGTTTTGGGGGACAAAAATAGTTTGTATATACAAGAGGGTAGTTTTTAATCTCAGAATACTTAAAAAGTCAATGGTTTGAGTTCACTGTTAAAAATTCTAATGAAAAAATATAAAGCTACATGCAACTGAAAATACAATGCCCAGGAAAGTTGTCACACTTCACTTAAAAAAAAAAACACCAGCAAGAGACTGCCAGGGGCTGGTAAAAGGGAGGAATTGAGAGTGACTACTAATGGGTCTATATGGTTGCTTTGCGGGATGATGAGAATGTTCTGGAATTATATTGTGGTAATGTTGCACAACTTGGTGAATATACTAAACCTCACTAAACTGTATACTTTAAATGGTGAATTTTATGGTATGTGAATTATATCTCATTCAAAAAATACACTAGTATTGATTTAACATTTTGCCGAATGAAAATATGCATGCTCAAACCTCCCCATGGTTTACCCATGGTTTAAGAGTATAATCTCCAGAAAAACGCAAATCCCCTAACTCCCTGGTTGCCAGCATTCTCCTCCTTAAATAATGAACAGTGAAAGAAATGTTATGTGTAGTTTTGGAAAATCACCTCTTTTGAAGAGGAGTTGTGGTTAGGGTACAGGTAACTCAGAGTCCTTGGTTTCAGGTGATTAGGGACTCATCCTCACCAACAGCCTGATAGGTTTTGCCCTCCTAGAAGCTGTACTGCCTCCCAGACTTCCCCACTGAAATGTCTCCAAAAGCCAAAGGAGTCAGTACCTGACCCCAGGGTGGGTCAGCAAGGCATGCTCTTTGGTTTTTGGTTTTGGTTTTCAGTGGCCTGAACCAGCTAAGTTATTCCCAACTAGCGTCTTGAACTTACCTCTGTTCATAGGTCCAGGCCCCAAGTAGCCTGCTGAAAAAACTTAAATAATAGCTCTTATTTATTGTAATACATAAGCTAAAAACATCCCTCTTGTAGAATTAAAACAATTCTATTTATGATTTTTATGATCATGTTAGCACACAGAGATTATAATTAGCCACAACGTCCGTTTAGCTTTTCAAAGCGTGCCTTCTCTGTACTGGTGAGATCTAGTTGGGTTTGTTTTTTGTTTTTTTTTTTACTGGAAAGTTGGTTCTGTCCTCAACAACTCTACCATGGATTCCTGTTTTCTGGTTTTTTTGGTCCCAGGAGAAAAAAAAAGTTTACATTTTTTACCAAAAAGAATGCCTTGCTGGTGGGGAATTGTCAAACTGAAACAGGGAGGGATGGTTATTTTTGTGCCATGGTGTGATGAAAGTTTTGCCACTGCTGTTTGCCTAGGTGGCATCTATGGAGCCTAGGTTAGAATAGACCTGACACCTATGTGTTGACATATGGTACTCAAGTTTAGGTGTTTGGTGCAGTTGCACAAAACTGTGTTAGTATACATGTTATTGTGTTGTCTTTATTTATTTTCCCACAAAGTGTCTATATTTGTCTTACAATCTGTATATAATAGTATACCTTTGATACAGAAGTATTATCTTGGTCTTTGCTTCTGGGTTGTACAGCCAGTGCACCCAAATTGATTAGATTACATAGGTGCCTGTGATAAACAAAGCAATCATCTTTAACTAATTGAACCTGAATAGATATTTTTGCAACAAAATCCAAATTAGAGACTTATAGCTCCATTAGAGACTTATAGCTCCGGTTAGCAATCTTGTTTAAAGAAAAGCTACTTATAGCTCTTTCAGTTGCCTTGCTAGGAAACCAATATTATTACTAACATTTGACTTCGTGAAGGTGTTCTCAAATTTAGAGTATATTTTTGGTAAGAACAAAAATAGCTAATGTCTTTAACTTGAACTTAATTTGCTACACTTGCATAGTTCTATGCAAGTGACTCACCTTGTCTCAATTTTTCCTTGGAGAGCTTTTAAAATCACAATTAAACTACACTCTTTTTTATGTATCCTGACACAATGGATAATATTTTAATTTTGTCATGGAAAAGAATATTGACTATGGAGACATTTTTCACTGTTAACTTTTAGCCTCATGCATTTTCATAATTTATTTTTTCCACTTGCTGCTTTATATGACATATGTGACATTTGATTATTTAATACTAAATGTGATTTGCATGAAGCCAAACCGTACAACCCTCTTGCTGAAGATAAAATTGAGTTTAAAGATATTTATTTTCATATTTGTACTGTGATCAGCTTCAGAGTCACGTTTTTTGTGGATTTTTATTGTATATGTGTATGAGAAATTTCATATGTATATATTAAGGCCTCTGAGTACTGAATAATTATTTTATAATTTTGATTTACATGGTTTACATTTTCATGGTATCGGCTATATTTCATTTATACTGTTTATTTCTCTTCAAACCATTAATAATTATCCCATAAAGTGTAATTTTTATAGCAATGCAAATGTCTAAGGAGCTACAAATATTTTCTACATCATAAATTCAATAAAGCATGCTTGCTTTGGCCTTCTGGTGTCTCCTTCAGCTTTGCTGCAGGCATCGCTGAAGTAATTTTAGTCCTACGATGTGCCTACGTGAAACCCTGCCTCTAAAACACTGGCCTGGGCAGCTGGCTGGGAGAGAAAAGGATGAACACATGGTGTGTGGTACTGTGGCACATCATGTCATCTCGGCCAGCGGGGCTACAGGTCGACCAGCTTGGGGTGTGACAGCCAGCAACAGTAAGGCTTTTGCAGAAAAATTTCAGGACGTGCTCTAGCAGTTCTCATGACCTCAGGGGTTAGGCCCCTCCTCTGACACCCCTGCATGGCCCCCCACCCTGCCTAGCTAACTCCGCTCATCCTTCTGCTTTAGTTTAAACATCACTTCCTTCAGGAAGTTTCCCTTCTCAACCCCAAACCAGGATGAGGCTGCCTGCTTTCACCTGTAGAGCCCCCTTCCTAACTGGTCAGCATCCTTATTGCCCTCATACTTGTTTAACTAGACATATCCTCTGAGCTTTATCCCTCTTGTCTGCTGCTACCTCCCCTCTGCTATACACAGTGCTTGAATGGGAAATCAAAGAATTAACTGTTTAAAGGCAGGCTTTGCAGAGTTTCTGCAGACACACATACACAGAGACATACATACGCAATACACAAGGACAGTATAAATAAGAGGCAACATATTTTGGTGGCCACAGGTCTGAGCTCTGCAGCCAGCCTGCCTGGGTTTAAACCTGGCCTCATGTACCTACTAGTCGGTAACTGTGAATAAGGGGCTTAATCTTTGTGTACCCCAGCTTCTTCATTGGTAAAATAGGGGTGACAACAGTACCTTTCTCATGGAGTGGTTGTGAGGACTAAATGAGTGTATGTATGGAAAGGGCTTAGAATAGTACCTGGCACTTTGATCACCCTCAGTGAAAAAAGAAAAACTTTTGAAGCACCACTGATCCCATTGGTCTTGCTCAGGGCCCTGGGTACTACCATAAATATGACAGAACTCCCAAAATTTACCAGATTACTTGGGGGAATGGGGCATTGTAGAGGATTCACTTGGACATAAGTTCATTTACCTCCCACGTATATTCTTGGTATTTCATTAGGCACAAAATTGGGGTATCATATAGGATAGAATATTCTGTAAAGAGTAGATTAAAAGAGAAGGAAATCATTGAGAGAAAAATGAGGGCCTGACAGTTAGAATGGAAAGTTGTGAATGGAGTCCTTATAAGTGTATGCTCTCCATTTATTAAGGGGTGACTGGATGAAGTAGTTGAAAGGACGAAGAATGTACACAGAGCTCTGACTGGGCTTTCAAATCTAAATGACAGTAAAAATGGTGGTGGGTATTGGGGTTATTTAAATGGAAACTAACCTTTATACTATGACCAAGAGCCTGTTGACAAGGATTTCCTGTGTATATATCCAAAAGTCCACAGGATGGGAATGAATCTCCAGCAAAGCATATTGTTTTGCAAGACTTAAAATAAAAAATAACATCTTTTCTTTCCAGATCTAGACATTAAGATGTTTTCATAGCTGAAAATGGAAAATAGGCACAAATGCTTCAACGTGAATTACAGGTTAAGATAAATTTTCAAGTGCAAAATTCTAAGAATAATTACCCAGTTTTAAATTTTTTTCTGCATATCAGGTTTATTTGTGAATTTATATTTCTTAAAATTTCTGTAGAATGGGAATTTAGTTGTAAGGCCCTTTAACTCGTGACCTCTCAGGCTGGCAGTTCAGGAACCATGTTTCGTGGTATTTGACATACATTGTTATAGAGTCCCTGACTGTCCTTAGGATTTGGGCTTTCTGAAAATTTCTCAATCCCAGTTTTCTGGCACATCTTCCCATTGCTGTGCAGCAGGGTAGAACTCAAGAGCTGGATAAAGATCTCTTCAGAGGAAGTTCTATGAGTTCCAGTGTACTTTTAGGAGTAAAACTAATGCTCTTTAATTCGCCACAAATATCTTCTCTTCTTGATCAGTCATTTCAGAAACAGGTATATTTACTCTTAGATAATATCCAAAAATTTCTTAACATGACCCCTCAGGCCCTCTGTGATCTGACTCCTAACTGTTCCTTCGCTAATTCAGTTATGTTTATTGAGCCTGACTGTGTTATGGGTGCAAATCTAGACCCAGGGGATGCAGAGTGAGTAAGACAGATCTGAAGCCGACTGCGTTCTGGTGGAGGCTGACAACAAACTTGTAAACAAATAAAGAAGATCCACATTCTGCCTCCTCCCCCTCTTTCTCCACCCCAAAGTCCCCAGTCGGGCACAGGAAACTGTCCCTCCGTCAAGCCTTGCTCTCTCCCCTCCAGCCCTTTACTCAGCTCCACTCTCTGCCTGGAACACCACTCTGCCTGCTCTCGTCATCTGCTTGCCCAACTCCTGTCTGTCCTGCACATCTCATTTCAGAGACCGCTTCCTCCCAGCAGCTCTACCCAACCCTGGGGTCTGAGCTAGAGCCTCTCCCCCATGATTTCTACCCCCAGTGCCCATCGTAGACTTGGTGAGACTGCATGTCTCACCAAGATGAGCAGGTTACTTGTGTGCCTGGCATGCTGGATGATTTCTGTCTCCTGCAGCCCTTTAGACTTTACTGAGTGGGGGTAACCTTTCCCCACTCTCAGTGCACACTTCAGCAGCCTCATGACTTAAGATTCCTCTAGATCAGGGTCTCAAGGGTATTTTTAATGTCACAGACTCCTCTGAAGCTGAGGAGCCCCTTGGAATAATGTTTTTAAATGAATAAAATGAAATACATAGGATTATTAAGGAAACCAATGATACTGAAAGACTGTTCCCAGTCACAGATACCAATAATCCTATTGGGGTTTGTTGCTAGCATTTTATATTAAATGAAATGCTAAATTCCAATCAGAGTTTAGTAAAAAATAAACATGTAATTTTTTCCCATTCAAGGTAGAAATATAGATTTTTACCCATAGAACCAATGGGTCCATGGCCCTAAGTAAGAACCCCTGCCCTGGGTGAGAAGCTGCAAACATAGTATATTCAGAAGAGAATTCCCACATAGTAATCAAAACTCCAAGCTTGACTTAGTGGTATTAGTCCTCTCCCTGATCCAGTTCAGTTCTGCTTCAGCCTGGAAGCTCGCTGTGGGAAGCGGGGATTGGTCCCCCTGCTCTGTCCTACATCCCTGACTACCACTTACTGGTGATACACTCCCCTCCAGGTTCCAAGCAAGGGGAGCATGATGTTAACATTATAGATGCTGTTTTATATGTTAGCAAGCCAAATCTCACAGAAGAAAAAGAATGCATGTGGCCAGTTGTTCTTGACCATCAAGTGTGCTGAAGTTTAAGGATAAAATGTGGTCTTTGCAGGAATGTGTAGTAATCCACCTCCTGCCTTTATAACTGCAGCTCTGAAACTAGTCTGATTTAATCATCCCTCTTATAGCCATGAACATGGGCTGAGGAAGTAAGAAAGGTTAAAGATTGAGGATAATTGGGTTAAGAAGCAGAAATAGTGAATGTTTTCTGGGGTGAGATGGCATAGCATTTTTCTCCTCTCTAAAACCCCACTGAAACTAGAATCAAATGGGTTTTTCTTTTAAAGATACAGAGCCACAAAGGCAGAAGACAATAGGAACAAAATAATGAAGCTGGAGAGTAGATGGAAAACTTGGAACCGAGTTAACAACCTAAGAAAGCTGAATTCTAAGCTAATGGGGGAAAGCTGAGAGCAATCTAGGTTTACATTGCCAATTTCCCAAAGGCAGAAGCACGTACCTCTGGAACTGGGAGTATAAGGGAAAGTGGGGTGAAAGTAGTTTGAGAAGCAGTTTTATCCTTAAATATTGTTCTCTCATGCTACGCCACTACTACTCTGACCAAAGTCTGGATATGTATTTTCTGGAGTAAAACAGAGGGATGCTAGATTGGGGGCTATATAAGGCACGGTTGAGTGTGTTGGTACTGTTCAAAAAGCAGGGGAGTTAAATGACAATATGTAATCTGAGTGCTCAGTGCTAAAAGCTAATACTACCCACTCAGCTTTCAGAACACTGATGCTTTTATCTTCCAGAGATTGAAAGACTTTTCCCTGGAGTACTGACCAGATAAGAGGAAAGACCTTTTCTAAGAAATGCACCCTGCCTCCATCACCCTACAGTAAAGTTCAAAGTTGGCAAGTCGCTCCCATCACTCAGAACTTTCAATCAGGATGTTAGCTCCCCTGAACACCTGAAGGATCACTGGATTTTTGAGGAAAGGTTCTAACATGGAAAACAGAGACCAAATAAAACAGAAAAAATATCAACTTAGGGAAACAGAGCTTATGCAGAGAAAAAAATCTATCATTAATATATTTAGAGAGATATATATCTCTCTAAATATATTTAGACAAAACTACTGCAGCCATGAAACAAGAACAAGATACTATCAATAAGGAACATTCATAAATCAAAAATAAGATCCTAGAAATTCAAAACATGACAGCATAAGTTTACAAAAAAGTAAACAATATAGAGTTTGAAAGACAGATTTGAGGAGTCTTACAGAAAGAAAAGTGCAAAGAAAGAGAAACCAGGAGAGGAAGGAAGTCCAATATCCAAAAATAGCTGTTACAGAAGGAGACAACAGAGAAAGCAGGATAACACAATCAAATGTCAAAAGCAATTGATAGAATCTCCCCTCTCTGCTCCCTGTTGGTTATTCGTTAGATCTTTCTGGAGAACTCACCTGGGAGGCTGCTGTAGCTCTCTTGCCTATATCCCACTTCACTGCCTAACAGCTGCATGGAATAAATGACACCTGGAATGAAGATCACAGCAGGACATGGAGAGGGGCTTGTCCCCCATCCCCAAGGGTAGGCAGGGACAGAAGCAGAGAGGAAGACCATGTAGATGGGGGTCTGAGTACCTGGGACAGAAGCTGGGATGTTCCTAACCAGGGCATGTAAGGGAGAAAAGCCAATCTGCTTTGCACTCAAAGGAGCTTAGAGCCAGGAAGCCAACTCAAGGTCCAATACTTTTGGAGGAA